TGGTGGGCAAGAATGTGCAAAAGGAAAGCATCATTTTTAAACAATTATGGGGGAAAAAAAAAGAAAGAGAGACGGTGAAGACACAGGAAGATGAGAAGGAGGCGTTTGGCGTGAGAACCACGCCAAGTGTCAGTGGAAGTGCCAAAACATTTACTGACGAGAGCTGTTTATACGTGACTGCGGGTAAATACCAGCATGGCTGAGTCACTTGCCGTGCCCTGACACACACCACTCATCTCTTCATTCCTTTTCACAGGTGAGGTGCTGATGCATGCAGTGGCTGGCAGTCTCCACCTGCTGCGCCTGCAGCAATGAAAGTCGGGGGAAGATATAAAACATTGGAATGTGTGTGATTGGACAACTTCACAGTAAAAAAAAAAAGGGTAATCGTACAGCCACACGATATTCATATTTCTGATGATGTTCACAGTTTTGCCGCTTCCGTCTCCTTTGAGATCCGAACGTTGAGCCCCTGAAGCTGCCCTTTGCCGCCGCGGCCGTCTCCAATTGAATCCTCTCAGCCAGAGCAGAGATTTGACCCGGCGTACCTCTGCTGATAACATCTGCACTTCTGCACAATCTGAACTTTCCCGTATTTGTTCTCCGACCAGCTGCATCTTGCAGCGGAACAGGGCCCCCGATACGTATCTCAGATACGTTTCACACACACCTTTGTGCCGACGGACCGAACAAAAGTCACCACAATGGTGCAGCTGCAGGGGGAATGCATGTGCACTGGAACCGTCCCGCGCTGACCTCCGGCCTCGGCCATGAGTACAACAGAGTCAGCGCTCTGAGCTAAATACAGTCGATTCTAGTGCTTGAATGCCGAGAAAGGAGCAGGAACAGGATGTCCCCAATCGAAACGAGGAGAAAGAATGCGTAGACTCAAGACGGACGGGCAGTTTCCCATGACACAATCATCGCTACTTCCTGGAGCTGCGAGGTTTCGTACACAAACAGGTCGTGTGGAATGTGGACCCCGGCAGGTCGGCCGATGGACCTGAGGGTGAGAGCTGGTGTAACAGCTACGTGTCCAGCAGGCAACCATTAACCCCGCGTCCCGTCCGCCCACAGACTCTGGCAAACACGCGTGTGTGTAAAACGCGATGCCTTCATCCCCTCTCACAACCTGACTTGAGTGACCTTTGACCTTGCTCGCGGACGAACCCCTCCCTCTGGGCCAGAGCAAGACTGTGATGCTGTTGCACTTGAGATATGGATGACCAAGCAGGATTTGTTGTATCTCCGTCTTTGTGGGTCACTATAAATGATGGTCCTGCAGCTTTTTTGTTACTGGTAGATTTAAACAGATCGCATTTCTCTAAATAACAATAAGGAGGAAGAACACTTCGACTGGGGAGATAATAAACAAGTTGTAGCTCGTCAATGTAAATGTAAATTGTGTTCCATATATTTTACATTTAAAACACGCTGATTCCGCTTCTGTTTCAGTGTGGTAATACTTTTCATACATCCTCTCCTGTTTCAGCCCTAATTATTTTACCATCCCACTTCCTACATCGTTGCCTCGTTGCATTTCTCAGGCTCTCTCTTTTTATTGAAGTAAAGCTGTAATTTGCCACATCTCTCATCGAGAGGTGGTTCAGAAGTACCTTAGCTTACAACTCTTTCATTTGCGTTTTTATCATCCTGGATTCAATTCTCGGAGGAGGGAATTATTTCGGGTCCCTGCTGCCCTGAAGGCTGGATGTGTTTCACGGAACAGGAGAGACTTTGTATTTTTTCTTTTTTTACCACATATCCATGCAACATCTGTTATAACAATGCTATTCTGCAGCATACGTAAGCAAATATCTTCATTCAAACAGTCCACTTTGGACATTTACCATACCAGTGAGCAAAGAGCACACATGCAAAAGAGGAACATGAGGTCTGGAGAGTATGTAAATGTCAGTAATAATGCAAAAGAAACACGGCTACAGAGTTTCATGAAATATAGTTGGAAGAATATAGAAGAACATTTAATGTATTTAATAAGTTTAGAAGAGAGGCAAGAAACGGTCACCGACATGTTAACTCAAGTCCATCAGATGCAGACGCATATTTATAATCATAAAATCTGTCCAGACCAAAGAACAGAAGACAAAACCTCTCTGAATTATGGAGAGGGATTTGTTTGATAATGTGAAGGCTGGGATATGAGTCATGAATCCAAACATTACATTTCTGTCGTCTATATACTTATTGTTATGTGCAGGACTTTCATATTTTCGCTTTCAGACAACAGTTACAAGCATAACTTTGAGCTATTTCCATTCATTTTGGGAATGGATTTATTGTACTTTTAGCTTACAGTTGCTATTTTTTTACACCCGTCATCACTAAGAAATGCATTGAAATTGGGTTGTCTACATTACAAGATGCTGTACCGCACAGTAAATACTTGGTTCAGATAAGACATACTGTGTGTTACTCTGAAGTCAATGAGGAGATTTATTTTCATCCTCTGCATCAAAGGGTGCGCTCCCTTCCTCTCTAACCTTGGCCGGTACTGTATTGGCTGATAACAATGAATGATTGACCTCTTTCTAGATAAAGAAGAACTTATGTGATGCCATCGGCCTCAAAGGGCCCATAAACTGTTTCATCTTGTACCTAAAAAAAAACACAGGCAAACACAGACTGAGAAAAGATTTGCATTTTCAGGTTCACCACATCTTCTGTTCTGTTTCACTTCTGCTTGTCACTGACATCCTGTTGTGCTCGTGCACACCTTGTGCTGTGTCTGCAGCGTGCACTCGTTGCTTGTGTCTGTCCCGCAGAAGCACTGCAGGAGCCGACCCCGGAGAGCTGTTATGGAACAGTAGCAGCTATCTTATTTGCAGTCACAGGGCAGAATCCGTGACTCCCTCTGCCTCTCGCATTTCCAACACATTCCAGGAAAACACTTTCTCCCCCAAAATCACACACAGCTGTGCACGTGGGATGCAAGGTCTTCAGAAGTCTGTTTGCATTTGGGTTGTGTCGGCCAATCTTGTCCAGGAGGTGTTTTAAAAGCTTTTCCAGACCACTGTGCACCTCCCTTTTCGATCTGCTCTTGGTAATTGCTGGGCCATGGGGAGACGATGGACGCATGCAGGAGCAAGCTCCCTACTGACTGTGAGCCAAGGCCTGCAGTATCCTGCCCGGGTGGATGCAGAGAAAGCTAATGGAGGAAGTGAAGCCGGGACTTGAGTTGAGTTTTGTTACTGCAGTTAAAGCAACATAAACGTGCACTTCTCCTAAAACCAGCACAAAGCTGCATATGCACACAAGTCTCAGGACCTTGAGCAAGATTTTAGTCAAAAATAACAGATGGGTGCACACAGGATTCCATAAAAGCAGCTCAAACTGAGTAACGTCTGAGGTCAGACGGTTCAAGATTTTGAACAATGCAAGGGAGTCGTAGATCTATGAGGCCCTGCTGTTATCTGTCCCACAGACTCTGGGACAGCAGCCAAGCTGATGCCATCTCCAGAGGAGGAACGCTGCTAAATGGCAGGAAATTCCTACTTGGTTTGCTCTCATAAGCAATAGAAATTCTTTCAAATGAGGCTGCTGAAATGTTGTACAAATATGCAAGTTCTTTTGACCGGTAGAAGTATGCCCGTGGGACGGAATTCAGCTTAAAGGCAGAAACAAGGGAGACGCGCATACAAGAAGAAGAAGATAGGAGAGGACTGTGAAGTAGAATTAAGTCAAATGTCATATTTATTACTTACATACTTATTTAACGCTCTATTACGGGATATTTCCTCAGAATTCGCACTGAAACACAGCACTGTCCAGTTTTAAACCTTTTGATCAGAAGCAATGTCCGTCTATGGTTCTGCTGGACTTAACACAAGCTGTGATGTAAGATTTGATTTGGTTTGTTTGAGGAGTGAAAACTGCGTGTAATGGCATCAAATTGTGACAAAACGTGTTTGACACTTACTGCTCCGAACTTGCATGATGGATCCATGCTGACTAACAGACACTTCTCAATGTGAAACGGGCCATGTCTCCTCTTAGTTTCCTGTCGCTACATTGAACAAAATCTCAGTCGAGCATGAGTTCATCCGGATGCTGTTAGCTTGAGTTGTGATTTTAGCAGTAAATCACTCTAAATGGCCAATAAACCTTACATCGGATATTTCTACCAATGCCTGACCCCAAGGTAACGGCAATGGAAAGGTCCGCTTCACCACTACTAATAATTAATAACTGTAAAATACATCATTAAAAAAAAAAATGCTAATGGCAAATAAGCCATTCGGCTGTTTCCTATTTCTATAGATAAGTGTGGTTCTCACATTTCACGCGGTACGTGGAGGCACTGCAGGGGGTACAAGTGAGATTTTTTTTTTATTTAAAATGAGCCATAAAACAATTTTTAGGGGGTACACAACTGAAAGAAATATCAATAAAAGATCACTACAAAAAGATTGAGAACCACTGGATTAGATGATATCTATCAACTTCTGACCAGCAAGATCTGTACTTTATTGGAATAAAATATTATACTCTGATTGAGCCACACACTACGTCAACACCCCATCGTGCACTTAAAAAAGCAAATACCAACTCTTGTGTGAGATGTTGATCCCAAGATAACAATTTCCCTCCCAGGAAATTGTTATCTTGGGATCTCATCAGAGATGAGAGAGATGAGAATGATCCTCATAAACCCCTTGAGCTCAAACCCATTGTGCTCCCACACTATCATGACGCTTTGCTGCCTCCTGGTGCTTATACGAGGTGCAATTTGAATAAGTCCATGGTGTTTCTGCCGATGACTCTGTAGTTATTCCCAAAAGTTAAAGCCTTATTAAAATAAGTCAGATTCTCAGCATCTCCAAGAAGAACCACGTTCAACATACACTCTCACCATCGACCATTTATGTTGTCCGCAAGCCCCCCCACCATGGCTCTAATGTTTCCCACGCGTCTCAATAGAAAAACAAAATCCACCACACCAACAAGGACATGTGAAAAGACGGGAGGACTCCAGGTGGCAGATAAAATGTTTACGATTAACTGGCCTTGTGATAGAGAAATATGTGAAAACACCGAGAAGCGGAGCTTCCTCACGGCTCTCCATCTTACCCTCCGCACTCCAGCTGCTCGCTCCTGAAGCTGACACTTGGTGGCTCCATGGACAAGAAGGTGGTGCTGATCACAGGCTGCTCCTCGGGAATCGGTCTCAGCCTGGCTGTCCGGTTGGCCTCCGACCCCGACAAAGCATTCAAAGGTAACCGCTACCTCTGGCTTTCATTTCTTTCCTTGTCCTGCGTGTGGAGCAGTTAATGTTCTATGAGAAGCTGCATGTGCTGAAAAGCTCCTGGAAGTTGTTAAAAGCTAAACTCTTTCAAGCGTGTGAAGACGTGCCACTCAATGCTTTCCGTGTAGTGTACGCCACGATGAGGAACCTGGCCAAGCAGGAGCGTCTATTAGAGTGTGTGAAAAGCCTGCACAAGGACACCTTGGACATACTCCAGATGGACGTCACCGGCCGGCAGTCCATCCTGGATGCGAGGGACAGGGTTGTGGAGAAACGGGTGGACATTCTGGGTATGCTCCTGTGTCGCCGCGTTCTGGCTCAGATTGCATTTGAGATTTGTGTGTGTGTGTTAACGGGCTCGCCCTGGCCGCTCACAGTGTGCAATGCCGGAGTGGGTTTGATGGGGCCGCTGGAGGCGCAGTCCCTGGACTCGATGAGGCAGATCGTGGAGGTCAACCTCTTCGGTACCATCCAGGCCATCCAGGCTTTCCTGCCGGGCATGAAGGCTCAGGGCCGAGGCCGCATTCTGGTCACTGGGAGCACCGGAGGGCTTCAAGGTGAGTTTGAGCGCAGGGCGGTGGAACCGGCCCACGTGCGCAGCTTTCCCCAATGAATCCCAAGAACACATCGCCGATGGTGCTTGCTGGAGTGCAGGAAGTTGCCAAAACAAACCGTGTCCCCGCTTCACGGCCTCTTGCAGGTCTCCCCTTCAACGAGGTGTACTGCGCCAGTAAATTTGCTATAGAGGGAGCTTGTGAGAGTTTGGCTGTCCTCTTGCAACACTTCAACATCCAGTGAGTTTTAACGTTTGTTTCGCGTGCCTTTCTTTTCCTCAGTTTAGCGGCCGTTGACCAAAAAAAACCTGTGTGCTTCAACCCCGCAGCGTGAGCCTCATCGAGTGCGGCCCGGTCAACACCGACTTCTTGGTGAACCTGCAGAGGGCCGAGCTCGGGGATTCGTCTCTCCAGCAGGTCGACGGCCTGACCCTCAGCCTCTATGAGAAATACCTGCAGCACTGCGGCTCTGTTTTCCAAAACGCAGCGCAGGACACTGACGACATTGTGAAGGTTTGATAAGAAAGACAAGACAGATAAGATCGGCTTGTACAGAGATCGATCAGTGCAGAGGAAAGTCGTAGTTGTGAAGCGGTTGTTGTCGTAGGAAAAAGTGCAAATAAAGGAGAGTGAGACTCAATAAATAGAAAATGCAAAATGCACACAATCCCAAAAACCTAAACAAAGTTAATGGTAAAGCTCATGGGTTACATCTATAATTACCTCTTCTAGATCATGGCTGCATTGCATTTCACAAGTGCTCTAAAAGCACCGTGAAATACGATATAATTCGTATATTAAGAACTTGTACTTGTATCTGATTTTGCATAAAAACTTTCACCATTTATCTTTAGCTACTTTGAAGGAGGCTCAGAATGTTTGAGTTAATCACAGCAATTTGACAAGATGGTGTGTCACTGCGACATTTGACCTTTGGCATGTTTGTTTTTGTCCCCAAGGTGTTTTTGGAGGCCATCCGGTCCGCCAGCCCGGCGTTCAGATACTTCACCGGGGGAGGGGTGCCACCTCTCATCAAACTGAAGGTCACACATCCAGACGGCTCGCGGTACATCAGTGCTTTGAGCAAAATCATGTTCTCAGCTGAGGAACAATAATTTTGCTTTGTTTTCAATCCAGCTGCCGCTTGCTCTTCCCTTTCTTTGTGTCAACATCTTCACTATTCCAGTTACTATTTCCCGGAAGGAGGTTGACACATCGTGACTCACTGGTTGCTCTCAGGGTTCGGTTTAGTGAGTTCAGTAAAGTTCACTTGGAGCAACTCCCTGTTTCTATTTTTGTAAGTCGGTTATCTAAAGTTATGTTCCTTATCACAAAGTGACATAAAAATATATCATTATTTTGGTTGATATTTGAAAAGGGTTACATTTTGAGTGCGTTCCTATCTTTCGACAGTTTTCTTGCCATAGTTGCCATACTCCCTCATGCAACAGGAACAACTCACTCACTAATTTCTCTTCTTGTCTTCTGGGTGGTTTGCCTTAAAATACATCTTGAGGGTTAGTGAGTAAAGAAATGTCTTTCTGAGTAGTAAAGAGGAAGCTCAGCTCCGTCGGTTTGGCTTTTGAAAGTAAACAAGGGCCAGCTGAAACAGCAGCACAACCTGTGTATTGCAATGTAATGTGTAACTGTATTAATTGTTAGCTTGATTCTATGGCTACACATACGGTTTCTGGCTTTTGATGGCATCTCCGAGGTTCTTATATTCCGCCCTAATCAAGTGCCTTTTATTAGAGTCTGAAGCTGCTGAAATGAATCCTGCTGTACCTGTTTGGACTGTGTAGTAGATTAAATGCCTCTTACAGCCTGCAGTGTATTATGCAAAACAAAGGGTGTTGAGAGCTGATGCATTAAAATGAAATGTAATTCACTATTATGGTGTAAATCGCTGCTGCTGATAGAATTGCTACTCAGCTTTACGCAGTTAATTTGATTGTAAATGATCTTGATTACTCTGTAGCAGTAAAGTCCAAGAGTCATGTGCTTGCATATTCAACTTTGGTCGAAACCTATCAAAGCCACGTCAACCCATGAGTCAAATATTTTCACAGATGCAATCACAAGTCTATCATAATTGACCTATTTTCCACCGTAACTATTTTTTGGGAGTGTCAGTCTAAATTGTCCCTCTCGGAGTATGAATTTTATATCAGTTCCATACTGTTGACTTGTGCGATCCGCAATGACAATGCGTATGAACTTTTTAAATTAGAAATTATGGAAACGAGTAACATATATGTTAATAGTGTGTGTAACAAAAAATAAATAAAAACTTAAAACACAAAATGTGCGTGTCCGTCCTCTCACCCGCGCGCCAATTCGCGAATAAACGGGTTTAAGGTTTAAAGGGCACCGGCTCTCTGATTGGCTAAGAGCCTCCAGTGACGTCACCGCCGTCTTCATCATCTGGGACAAGTGGAGCAGGTCTCCCGGCCGTCACACAGCCGGGGTCCGCCGCGGGGTTTGGAAGCACGGAAGTCTCGGTCTTCGCACGACACAAACTCCGCCATGGCCAGAAGAACGAGCCCCATGCTCCTCAGGGGGCTGCTGGAGACTTCCAAAGCCGTCTGCCCCAAAGCCGTCTGCCCCAAAGCCGTGAGGGGGAACCGAGCCACAGCCCAGGTCGTGTGAGTAAAACAACCCCCACCCCAAAAAAACGGTCAATTCCGGCGCAGACGAGGCGTGACGTCTCGTCGGCTAAAGAAAAAACAACTAAGGGCGGTGTTAAACTTGCTATTTCGTTATCATTTCCGGAGCTAACGTTAGTTGGTCGTGGGTGGTGCGTGGGAGGGGGGGTCACGGGTCAGCGGGTTAACCCGCAGTCATGGCAACCGGGCCGGCTCTTCCTCTCGTGGCAGTAAGTTTCCACGGTGAAGAGCCAGCTGGGTGGCCGATGGGGAGGGGGGTAAACATCCGTCTTCTTTACGGAGTTCACAACTGAAATAGCAAGTTGTGTCAGATGAATACTGTTATACGTGCTTGTGTTTTATTTTTTTTATTTTTATTATTGATTAAAAAAAAAAAAAAAAAATATATATATATATATATATATATATATATATATATATATATATTATAATTATTATTATTTTACATATCTTCCCCTTCAGACCCCTGTGGGGCTCCTGTGGGGCCCTGACAGCCAGCCTGCCCGTCTGCCCGGTGGTTCCCTTCGGCCCCCCCAACCGCAGCTTCGTCAACCTGGCTTTCCCCAGCAGCGCGCGCAGGGTAGAGTACACCGAGTGCAGGACATTAGGGTGAGTGAGCACCCCTATCCCGTGTGTGTGTGGGGCCACTGGAATAAGAACATGATCGCGCACCAGATCTAAACAAGTCGAGGATCTGCTGCTTGGCTCTTGTCTTTTTATACTAAATACACTCTGCTGATGGACGAACAAACCATTTGAAGATGCTGCTTTGGGCTCTTGAGAAATTGTTTTAGGTAATTAATCAACAAAAGGATTACTTGAGAAAATCTGACTATGCATTAGATTCACAATAAAGATAATTGATAATTCAAGAATAAGATTTAATTTCTCCAAGAATGGTAGTGAAAATAGAACGTCAGCGTTTAAAATATAATTTTTTTTAAATGCAGTTCTTTAGAACCGGTCTCATCTGCTGTGACTGTGTGCAGGTATTCTCCGGAGCAGATGTACAACGTGGTGGTCGATGTGGACCAGTACCAGCACTTTGTTCCCTGGTGCAAGAAGTCTCGGGCCACAAGGGGACAAAGCGGTGTCGTCCGGGCGTACCTCGAGATAGGTTTCCCCCCCGTGGTGGAACGCTACACCTCCGAGGTCACCGTCGTGCCAAACCACCAAGTCAGGGTAAGTGGTGCTGCCTGGAAAAACCACCATAACTAACTATTCCTTTTCTCAGACGGTGTACTTTGACCCAGGTTATTGCCTTTTTATTTTGTACCAGGCCGTGTGTACTGACGGATCCCTCTTCAGCCATCTTGAGACTATTTGGAAGTTTGCCCCTGGGGACAAGGACGAGGACCTCCCGGCCTCCTGCAAAGTGAATTTCTATGTAAGTGTGTAAAATGAGAAATTGATAGCTCGCCCAAAGCGTCTTGAGCACTCGCAGTAATTTGACTTGGAATTAATACTAGTCTGCAATGAATGTAAAAAAGCATCGACATTTATATTATAAACAAACCCACCGGTAGAAATTGAGTAACTCCCATTTAGGAGATCAGGTCGACTGTTTTAATTTGAGACTAACTCCAGGTCTTTGCTCGTGTGCTATGAGACCGTATTACTGGCGTCCTAGGAGGCTTGTAATCGCTGTCAGGGCAGAGAACCTGTCAATGGAGCTGACGAACCTCAGGGTCAACCAGGAAGTAGTTTGATTTCAGCAGGACATGTTGAACCAAGTGAATAACTCCTTAACTTGCGCTCCCTCTCTCTCCTGTAGGTGTCCTTTGAGTTCAAGTCTCTTTTGCACTCTCAGCTGGCCAGCGTCTTCTTTGACGAAGTGGTTAAACAGATGGTCAGTGCCTTTGAGTCGCGAGCGGCGGCGCTTTACAGGAACCGTCAGGAAGCGCCGTTGAAGAGACGGTCCACATGAGGCCTCCACGTTCCCCATAACCTGTAATCTAACCGATCTACCTCCTACCGACACCGAACCAGGAAGCTGGTGCCTCTTTTTGCACACGACCTTTTCTTACACTTGAGTTGACATGCACATTTAATATACTGTTTTATTTATAATCCAAACTAATTTATTTGCATGTACATATTTAGTTACTTGTAGGTCAGGAATACATTCATATTTTCAATATTGTATTGTTCCTTAGCTCAACACTGAAACATCTTAAAAGATTGAGTTATTTGTAACTCAACTTTTATTTTGGTGAAATAAAACTTATTTTTCAACATCTATATCCAGGCGTCATTTATTGAATTTACTTTTTTACAAGTCAGAATGTCCAGTGTGGAGCATATCAGTATCTGCTTATTGTTTATGTAAGATACTGCTTAGTTTACATCTTTTCAGCCAAAAAACATGACTGGAATCCTGGTAACGTGACCTAAAACCAAAACTGGATTCAAGTCCTGTTTATGCAGAGACACAGATAACGTCACGTCCCAGTACTTGTCATGATAGTTTCAATGACCCCTGACCTTAGGTAAGGGAGTATCTGCTCCCCATTCAGTCCAGGGACGGTTGGTTTTGGAAACCCAACTTTAAGTTGATTTACATTGGCGGAATACAGGTCGGTTTCTCAAAGGGGATTGATGCATGAAGGTGTGACGTCACACAGGGCTGGCCCTGGTCTCAAATGGCACCAAAAGGTTTGTCGCAGAGGTGTTCTTGTCAGAGCTAGGAGTATACTTCCACACTAACCTTCATTGATCAGCGTTAACAGTGATGTATTGAATCAGTTCACGAAAATCTTCAAATAAAATATGCTGGTCTTTTTATTTTAATGAGTATAAATATAACCGTAATATTTATAATGAGTGGGAAGGCTCTCTGGGTCCTTTATGAAGCATTTCCATAAGTCAGCATCTACTGCTGGCTTTTCCCAAGGGAATTACCCACAAACCATTGCAATGTGAGATAAAAAAAAGTGAATGCAATGAAGATGAAAAAAGGTAGGACATGTGATATTCATTAGAGTAAAGATGGAACAGAAATGATTAAGTCAGATATTTACTAATTCAACATTTTATTTGGTCATTTATGCTGTTGACAAGGTTAAAACATTTAAAATGAACTCATGAGAGCCTGGAAGACATTCAAATCAGAGTAAAACTTACAAAATACCGATAATTGTACACCAAATTTCTTGACATTGTCACAGAGACGTGAACAGAGCCGGACACTCTTCTGCAAGTGATGACACTCCGTCCCAGAGGGATCTGGATCCAAGTTCAATAATCTGAGGTTTTATAACCCACCATCTTTGTGCTCTATCAGTAATGTTTTATAACGTCATGTCTGAAGGCAGTTTGTAAACTTGGACTTCACAGTAAACGCTTTGTTTAAATCCCTTGTGGAGTTTACAGTTTAACTATTAATGCAGCCGTTTTATAACCAGCCGTTTCCTGAAACTGGTGCCTGTTTTTTCACACTACCTTGTGAGGTAAAAAAAAAGGGGGGACGTTTGACTAAAGAAGAAACCTATTCTATGCCCCACCACCTACAACTCGACTAGTGGTTTTCTGCTCTACGTGATCCGCACGGTGCTTTTGCAGCAAAAAAAGCTCACGTTTTATATACACCGCTAAAAAGGTGCAATCTGAAAAGTATTTACACAACCGTGTTAGGATTTTCCCCCCTTCACAACTTCCAACCCAGCTTTCACTTTAAATGTATATTTCACACCCGTACAGTACGTGACTGTCATTTATACAAAGATCACAGAACGTTTGATGACTTCATTAATCGCGTGTTGACATGGTAAAATGAACAAAAACCATGGTCCAAAAAAAACAAACAGTAATTCACCTTGAAATATGTTATGCATCGTGAAAAATATTTAGAAACAAAGCCAAAATAATGTGCCTTCCAATGGACAAAATTAATCAAGTTTATTTAGGGATGCCTTTATATTTTGATGACAAAGAGGCTTAAAGCAAGCTGCTGTTTTACAGATTTCCCCCATCAATAGTTCAGGTGGCTTGAAAGTACAAATGTCACCCAGACACACATTGTCCTCTGTCTCTGTGTAGACAACATCATCTGTAGCTACAACAGCAATGCAGACCTCTAGCTCATTATCGTTGCCCCAACCATGAAAACAAACAGGAACGGTTCTCGGGACGATTTTAAAAGCTCTACTAAAAATGTACAAACAGTCATTGTTTACATTTTTCTCTCGGAAACAAAAAAAGAATTTAAATTAAAAAAAAAAAAAGGATATCTACTGTATTTTTAACCAACAAGAAATGCCATTTCAGATCTTTACTATATGGCTCAAACAATGTGATCTCAGGCCTGCTGGCTCGGCCCCTTCATGTTTCCAGTTGAAAGGTTTGTAGCTGAGCCTTTATATCGTTCACTCGTAGGCCAAAGTAAAAGAAATGGTGGACTTTGAATCGTGTAGGACAACCATACCGTAGTCCCATCAGGGAATGACAACCTTAAAAAAATGCTTGGAGTAGCTCTGTAATAATATTGTAAAATATCAACACATGTAAAATACATTCAGTTTAGTCCCCATTTGTGTTAAAATGTCAATGTACAATCAAACCTTAAGACACCCTAAAACAATTGGTTTATACTTTTCCTTTCTGCAGGGAGAAGTTCTGATGGGTCTACCTCTGAACCACGAGTTTGGCTGAGCAGGACGCCTCCCCGTGGTCATTGGTGGCTCTACATGTGTACACGTTGCCGTCCTCTGGGCCAACTCGGGCCAAGACCAGAGTGCAGCAGCCATCTTCCTCGTACTCTATCTGCGCAGTGGGGGACTCCTCCACGGGCTCGTCACCACACAGCCAAACCACCTCTGGGTCAGGATATCCTGCCGGGGGGAGGTGGAGGGGTGAGGGGCCGATTTAAACACAGCGGAACCTCCGAAATGAACCACGTTGCGTCTATGAACCACGTCTAGATGAAAGTTTCCTTTTACAGAATGTTGTGAACATATGGTCTAATAACATATGGTCTAATAGTGTCATATTTGAGGTATGTGCCCGCAAATATTACCCTCGAGGCTTAATGTTTTTCTCTCCAGTCACTGCTCTACAACAAAAGGAAACTTAAAATAAGACAAATTGAAGTCGCGTGTACCTGTGAGGTGACAGGAGAGACGGGCCCTGGAGCCGCGGCCCACCGTCTGGTCCGCCAGGCTCTGGGTGAAGTGGGGTGGGCCTTGCATCTTGAGCTCCAGAGACTGCAGGGCATGCTTTGCCTCCGGGCTGAGGGGGGAGTCTAGGACATGGATGGAGGGGGTAGAGGGGGGAGGGGGGAGAAACCCGTCACAGCAACGGCAAACAAAAAGGTCTGGATAAGACGACGATAGAAGAAAGTGAGCGTCTCACCTGCTCTTGGGCTTGTAGGAGACCCAGAGGCAGAACTTTCAGCTCTGGACAGCAGAGCCATTCTCTTCAGGGCCAACAAGGCCTTACCTGCTTTCTATGTGAAAAAGAAAAAAGGTCAAGTACAAAACCACTCCTCCAACTCCAAGACGAGCATTCGAAGTACTGCGCTGAGGTTTCACCTTCCACTTCTGTCTGGCTAAAAACCTCTTCAGTCTGTCCTTGGAGAGACTCCTGCTGGTGGCCTCATCTCCAGGCTCAAACGCCATCCAAGGGTGGGCGAGTGCCTCCTCAGAGGACATCCTCCGCCTGGGGGAACACGCGGCGCGTTAAATGTTGGGTCCGAGCGGAGAAGGTGCTCCCCAGTCAGTGGTGTGTCACTGTGTGACAAATCACCTGGTGTCTTTGTGGAGCAGGGAGCTGATGAAATGTTTGGCCTGGTCTGTAATCTCCTCAAAGCTCTCGTCAAACTCCCACTCGGCAGCCGTGACCAGGGCGAGGGTCTCCGCGTCGTTGTTGCCCTGGAACGGAGACTCGCCGCTCAGCCTGAGGACGCGAGAACGAGGAGGTGGCTACGTTAGATGTCTTTCGACCTACGGACACTAGGTGCCGTTAAAAAGTCTGAAACACTCAAAGAAAGCTGTTGAGCCACCATGACTGCGACCACTAGCTCAGGTATATCAGAATATTATGGGGACACGGCCCTCAAAATCCAGGAAATCCAGGCTACTCAAGAAGGGTACGGTTTTCTTTGAGTGCCAAAATGTCCGATTATAATTAAAAGACAGCGATAAGACGCACAGAATGACAAATACAAGTATTTATAACCGTTTTAAAAGTGGTTATCAGGGGGTAGTTATTCAAAATTATTGGAAAAAAATACAATGACTATGCATGACAATCACTAATTAAATTGCTAAAAGAATAACGCTACATCTTGAGAGATACTTATTCTTGGAAAGCAGCCTGCCTGTTTCAGGCCAAAGGAGTTTAAATCAGCACCTTAAACAGGTTTAGTCTAAAAAAGTAGCTTGCGAGTGTTTTACGGGCCGGCGCCACTCACAATATGTAGCAGATGACTCCGATGCTCCACATGTCAGTGGTGAAGAACACGGGCTCGTAGTTGATCACTTCCGGGGCCACAAACTCGGGAGTCCCATGCATCACCTTGAGGGGCGTGTTGCTGTCTGTCAAACATAAATCACCCGATTACCTCCTGGGAAAATTCACTAGAAATACAAGCGAACATCCAGGGAGTCTCATTTCACACACACACACACACACACCGAGCCTGGAGGCCAATCCGAAGTCGATGATCTTTATGGAAGTGCCGGTGGTGTCGACGCACACGATGTTTTCAGGTTTGAGGTCCAGGTGGACGATGCTCTGCTTATGCATGAAGGAGATCCCCTCCAGGATCTGATGCATGTAGCTCACGCTGGCGGACTCCGTGTGCTCGAAGTTGTCGTCGACGATGCGCTCAAACAGCTCACCGCCCGCGATACTACGGGCAGACGGAACAGGGGGGGGGGGCAAACATTTATCTGCATGCAACCAAAACACACTTTTTGCGGGATTTCCGCGCCCCCCCCACAAAAAAAAAGTCCACGACCAGACTCACAACTCCATGACCATGACCATCTCCGGGCTGTGGTCGTACGCTGCCAGGCACTGGACTAGTTTGGGGTGGTGGAGGTGGTTCATCAGCTCGATCTCTTTGCGGGCCGCCTCCCTCTCCTTGGCCCGTCGTCCTTTGTAGAACTTCCCTGCGTTGACGCGCCCCGTCTCTTTGTGGGTGAGCTTATACACCAGGCCGAACTTTCCCCTAATAAAAGACGTACGTTTATAATAGAATACGATGATTAATAATAATAATCTTCCATTTGGGACCTAGGATCATAATCCTTCATCTGTGGAAGTGACAGATGAACTTTCACTTCCACAGATGTGTTTATTCAGAGGAGCTGTGCCTCGACTTGCATGGATTCTTATCCTCCTTGACACTTGAAACCCGCACATTCCAGATTTCTTATTAGGGAATGTCAAGCTCATTTTTTTCATCATCGTTTCTGAAGAAACAGCTTTTATTTCTTTAAAGCAATTGCAAATGTTCGTTCCCGACAGCCACTCACATTCCCAGTCTCTCCTGCAAACTGTAGTGATCTGTGACCTTTTGCGTGGAGTTAATAGCTACAGAGGAATACGCTTGCTGGGGGCCTTCTTCATCTTTGGGTTTTTCTACACCTATATAAAAAAAAAAAAAAAAAAGGCACAGCTGTAATACAAAGCTTGTTCTCGGATTTTGCAGCATCAGTGACCCGTGTTGCCTCACCTTTCCCCTCCATCGTGACCTCTGGCGACTCTGGTCCCGGCTCGCTGGCTCCCACTGCGTTGTAGGCCCTCACTCTGAAACTGTAGCTCCGACGAGGCTGCAGCCCGGAGGACACTCTGTACGAGGTGCTCTCGCACTGGCCGGTAAGCTCGCTCCAACCTCCGGACTCGCTCTTCGCCTCGACCACGTAGCCCAGGACGGCGCTGCCGCCGTCGTAGCAGGGGCCGGACCAGGACAGCACGAGGCCGTGGGCAGATTCCACGCAGACCACTGGGCAGGAGGCCGGAGGCTGAGGCCTCTCTGGGGTGAGATGATAAGCGCGTTGACGGGGAGTCAAAAAACTCGAAACTTCATTCATGATCAAAGCGCAGCAGAGTTGGTGTCTCGGGCCTCACCGATGACAGCGAGGGTGAGCGTGTGTTCTACCGAGCTCCTGCGGTCCTTCGCCACGACGGCGTAGCGGCCCGTGTGCTCCGGTTTAGCCTCGGCTATGACCAGCGTGGTGCTCCCGTCGGTGCTTTCTGTCCAAACCTCCGGGCCATCCACGATCTACACAGACAGAGAGGGAGGTTAACACAGAGAGAAACAAAGAGGAAATCGCACAAAGAAAGTACTTTAAAAAAAAAGGAACACCTGTTCTTTGTGTCTGATCCAACACGACGCCACGGGGGGGCGGCCGGCGAAAAAACACGTCACTCGTGCGCTTTGTCCAACCGTCACTTCAAAGTGCTGCGGAGGGTTTTTGAAGTGCAACGCAAGCCCTGCAAAACAAAACAAGCACACATTGAGCGGTTTGACACTTGTTACTGTACTAAGACCTAAAAACAGCAGACTGGAAGGAAACCATCCGTTGTGCAAGTGTGAGATAAAAGACAGAAGTAGTTCTGTAGGATTACGTACAGTGTGTGGTCAGTTAGGACTGTACTCCCTTCCCCGAAGACCCTTATAATTATAGCATACAGCAGGCCAAGTGCATCAGCTCGAAGCGCATGCAAAACATGGATGACCTACTGCCGACAAGAACAACCAGTCCTTGTTTGATCGAGTGTGTTAACCAATGTTAATCAAGTGCGCCTGTAGCACACCAGCAAATGTCCCAAAGGGAAATAACGCACATTTGAAGTCTGTGTTCTTGTAATCTATCGTCATCGTGCATTTACATTGGTAGGGAAAACTACATCTGAGAGCTGGAGTCAATATTAACCCTCGAGCTATCAATATTCAAATACTGTGGTATCAGGATGGGGAATTTGACTAGTTAACTTTTAAAAAGTCTTTACAGTTTACCTTCTTACAGAGTGGCTAAATGATTGTCTCCCCAGCTCTAGACATCCAGTATATTGCGATTCATAAAACCACAATGAGCAGTATTACATGTCCAGAGCAGACTTGATATGATCCGTTCTGTTTATTGTTGCAGCCTACACCCTAAAGTTCCCTGGTACAGCACAATAGCTTAGAGCCAGACAACATTGTATCAGTAACAAAGGTGAAAGAAAAGAGGGAGAAAGGTGTAGCACCACAGAAAAGCACAGCAGAGCCAGAAGCAACCCAAAACACACAAAAATAGAATGGCAAATAAGAGTAACAAGCAGAAGTCAGCAGGGAATGATGAACGAATGATGAGAAACAAAGCGGGCGACAGGTGCACGGCTCGGTCATCCGCTAGAGGTGGTGGGAAAGGAGACCGGTTTCTCTCACCTGACTCAGAGTTGGCTCTCTTCTTTGGGATGACTTCTGCAGAGACAGCGGGGGGGGGAAGCACAGGTAGGCTTTATTGTGAAAGGGGCGGGGCTCGGCCCTTGTGTTCTACGGCTATCGGTCGACAGACTCGGCAGGTTTTTCTGCGCCGTGCGCCGTCACCGCCCTACATGGCGTTTCGCTTGGGAGCGAGAGGCTCCAGTGGGTGGATCACTGCTGTGGACGACCCGCTTAGTCCCTGAATGGTCGTCATGGGAACCAATCAGACGCCAGAGGGAAATGATGCCTTTCCTGTATGTATTAATGCAACATGCATGTCCTGAAGACATTTCCTGGTGCATCGACTCGTGTGTAGGGAGGTCAAGGAAGTGGCAATGCAAGTTGTTGGTAATTTGACTAGGAAGATGTTAAAGCGCTTTGTGTTTATGCTTTGAGCATTTAAAAAGGAATACCTCTTGGAGATGAGACTGGGCTGAGCTTATCAGAGCCCGGTGGGGAAGTGCAAACGGATCCTTTGAACTTCTGCAGCCTGTCTTTGGGAGACGGCGGGGACCTCCCATTCCCCACAAAGCTCTTGAAAGCAGAAGTCTGGCCAGATGAGACCGGATTCTGCACACTGCAGATAGTTTCAAAGTCTGGATCCAATGTCGGAAAGAGGAACAGAAATGAAACGCCGACTTATTGACATCAGCATTAACAAACAATTAATATTTTATTGAATGTGGAACCAGGCAACTTTGCTGTAATCATTATCAAACTTGTGGCCCCCGCCTCTCTCCCTCACCTCTGACGAACACGGCGGCGCAGCAGGACGTCTTCCCCGCGCCGTTCTCCGCCAGGCAGGTGTAGGCGCCGGCGTCCTCCGGCAAGCATTCCCTCACGGCGAAACTCGTCTCCCTGCCGTTGAAAGATGGAATCCCAAAACGGGCCACTTCACCTGCCCATAGGAGCAAACAAGCACACTAGAAACCCTCTCATCGGCTGACTTGTTTTAACTGGTTGGTTTAAAAAACAACAACAACAAAACAGTGTTGACCTAATGTGAATCGTCCCAGCTCACCATTGTGTAACCACGACACTTTGATGGGCTGACTCCCGGCGAGAACCCCCCGCAGCGTGACGTCATTTCCTTCGTCCACGCAGCAGTCCTGCAGCGGCTCTATGAAGACGGGGGCCTCCAGACGTCTGGGAGCGGAGAGGTCGGCAGAGCCTGGATGCGGAGGTGGTGATATGTGCAAGAAAAAAAGACTTATTACTGCATCTGAAGCCCCCTCCCCAACCACCCCTTTTATGTATGTCCTCAGTACAGACTTGCAATGCAAAGTTGGACCACAAACAAGTGTGTTTACAAGACTGCGCACACTGAACTTCTGTTTCCTGACACTGAGGTCTTTGAACTCGCGTTAAATGGAAGTGACACCTGCTAGAAGTGAGAGATGAAAATGGCACCAGAGTTTGTTCCACGCTCTCATCTACGACAGCTCACCCCGCTTCAACCTATTATTTAAACTCTTTCTTATAAATATCACATAAATTCTGGCCATCATTGCCCATAAAATGCTCAATGACATAATTGATTTTTTTGCATGTTGTTTTTAAATGCAGAAATGAAACCAGAGCCGGATCCGGGCTGGAAGCCTGGAGATTTCCAGGAACCACAAGCCCCCAGGAGAGCCCGAGTACGTCAGAAACCATTCGCAGCACTGCAGGCTGACCGGCGCTGACCCTCACCCTGAGGGGCCGCGTAATTACAAGCACCCACATTCCAGCCAGGGATGAAACACACCTGGAACAAAGGACAAAATCAGGCAAGCTGATCTTGTGGCATGCAGCGGGACGAGCCTGCTCCCCCCCCCCCCACCCCACCCCATAAGATAGATAGAGATAGCGTTTAAAACGGTCCCGAGGAGTTAGATGAAATTCTTTTGTAATGGGGCTCTGGTCTGTTTTTGTGACTTTGCTAACTGTTAACCTCTGTTAAGTGTCTCAAACGTGACCGGCTGCAGTAGCGCCATTGACGGATGAGTAGTCGTGGGTTTTACCGTCAACCTTTAGCCAGCGTTTACAAGTCTATTTACCGCACCGTCTATTTACCGTGAGGCAGATTATCACACCCTCCACACATCGCTCTTAGACCTTCTTTTTTTTACCTTAACGCTTTTTTTTTTTTAGCAAGTCCCTGAAATACATACAAGTCGGGGGTTAAAAACCTTTTACCGGGTCTGAACACAATTGAAAACAATGCAGCACCGAGGACGAGCACACGTTTTATCGGTTCCAGATGATTTGAAATGTAAGAAGATTTTCATCTGATAGACGTGTGTGCGTGTGCGTGATATCTGCTAGATATGTTTGTGTGTGAGATGTTGGCAAGGCCACAATTCACAGAGTTTCAAACTAACCCTTTCAGTTTCACAGAAACCCACCAAAACTGTTTCACAAGTACAAAGATTATGCAAAATGAGTGGTGATGTGCAGTTAAGCTTTTAGAGCTAGAAAGATCACGTTCCGTTAGATGTGAAAATAAAATAAATAAATAAAGTGTTTGGTTTCGGATTCAACAGTAAAGCCTCAAACATCTCCAGACTCGTCTGCTCGACACGTTACATTCTACAGGAGGAGGCTCCCGGCAACAGTCGTCCCACATGCTCAGACCTCCTGCAGCTCTTACCATGTGCGGCAGCACGTCCGTCGCTGGTGTCAACCGTTCCCGGCCGGTTCCCACCCGGTGCTCCCGGTGCTCTGTGCGGCTTGATGTGCATCCTGAAGGTTGACACATGACGCGTTTGGCTGCTCTCGCCGTTCATGTCGCCGCGGGTGGTGGTGGGGGGGGAAACACAGAAACGGCCTCTGCGCGTACGGAACAAACAAAAACAATTCACGCAGTCATTTGCCAAGCCGGTTATCACACTTCCTTCCTTCGGTCACTGCTGCGCGCCTCCTTCTCAGCACTCGCCCCCCCCCCCTGCAGAGAGCCGCTGCACCTCTGCCTTCACTCCCCCTTCTGTGCACATGTTCAAACTCTGCCTTCTCACCCTCCTCTTATCTACGCTAACTCCACCTACCACAAATTCACTTTCTCTTTGGCCTTCTCGGGCGGGGCGGCCATCTCCTTCTCCCCCCCTAAAGACGCTGTGGTGACAGACCCCCCGACCCTTGACCCTCAACCAAAACTGCTCCGGTCTCCTGCCTTTATTACAAAGGCTAAAAAGGTGCACACACGCAAACAAACCTGGAGAGACAAAGCGGGAGAAAGGGAGGGGACTCATCCACACACCCACGCAGCCAAAGGTCATATTGTGTTTTGTTTATCGATTGCCGTTCGCCCACTCACTTATCAATGCTGCAATTGACCTTTGTGATGCCGGCGACTCAATCCGCTTGTCACGCCCGTGGATTCAAGACAAAAAACAAGAAGAAAAAAAAAAAAAGCACTTGCTGTGAATGACAGGCTCATAAATGCTACACTTGGCCTTAAGTGTGAGCGCCAATACGAGTCACTCACACACACACCGTTCCCCGGGTAACAGCGTGACTTTCACAGATTCACCCGATGCCATGGTAACCGGCGATGTCTGGTGAGAGGCCTGCCGTCGTTCCCACGGTGAACGCATGAATACGTTCGGCACAACATGTCGCACAAGCTGTGCTCTCCGTGCTGGGGGTGAAGTCCCAACCGGGAGAAATATCAGCGAAGGCGACGGAGGCCCGCTGATGTGATTACAACGCCCGGCCTGTTCCCCCTGCGTTCCCATGCCTGACCCCTGAATTCCACATCAGTGACCACACAGAAAAGCACTGCGAGGGGCTTGTTTTAGTTTCTGTGAGGGAAGAAATTCCTAGAAATCAAACATTTACCAAAAGGCCGCGCACACACACACACACACACAAACAATTGTCAGGTCATTGGGATGATGTAGCTTAGCGTTCAATCAGTGTTATTGGGTTGCTTTCCCAAAGTAGCAGAGGTCGTAGATCATGTTTCAGGGAAGTCCCAAAGTGTCCGGGCCCTGACACTGTTAAATAACACGTCACTGTTCTGAGATAAGAATGAACCCAGAAATGGGGTGAAACCACTGGAATTCACTGAAACTTCACTGAGGGTTAAAAAAAAAAAAAAAAAAAGAAAGACAACATCACATATTTACTCAACAGGTCACCACAGTCAAGTGAGACAGCTCATAACCCCCCCCCCCCTCATTTACTGGAGACTGACATCCTCTTCACTTTGTGTGGGATCAGCATGCAGCCGCAGGCTCCGGACTGACTGAAAATAATCAGGGCTGCGAAAGGGCCCTCCAGGCGAGGTAAATAATAATTTTGATATTTTGCATGTCTCACAGTATAAAAAACTAAATGAGCGCACGGGATGTGCTGCACATCGCATCAGACCCCTCGTAGAATTGGATCGGACTCAAGCTTACGATAAAACGGAGATAAAACCCAGAGAACGTGAGGTCTGCAGAGCTGCTCAGCAACCAGAGACGGGGACAAAATGCTGCATCTCTGCCACAGAGCCCAGGGCCTACAGGAGCATTACTAATGAAACGTAGTCATGGGGCCCCTTACGACACACAAAACAGGCTAAAGCAGGAGGGGACATGGGGACTGACTAATTTATTACCACCCCCCCCCTTCAGCCAGTCGATGGTATGCGTGCAGGTAGTTTGGTCTGCTCGCTCCGTCCTTGAAGCACTCTGCATGTGGACCATTCACAGCTGAGAGTCCTTAATCGGAGCACGGGGGCGTGTAGATGTAGACTGGAGATAGTCGCAGCAGACTGAAGGAAGGAGTCAAGACAATGCAATGGAATTTCGGCAGAGCTTTCAAAAAAAAAGAAGAAAAAAGGCAGTTGCAACAAACATGAGCGGACATGAAATGGTGACGTTAAAAAAATTCAAAAAAAAAAAAAAAAAAAAGGTAGTCATTCATTTTTCAGATAACTATCAAGACTGGGAGAAATAATCGGAATTCTTATGTTCAAAGCAGGTTTATCCCATGTTGATTCAGTACACATGGCAAGCGAGGTACACAACACAATTTAGAAAGTTGGGTTCATTTGGGCAGCCTTTTAGTTTCTGATTAGTTATTTGTTCTGTTGTTTCCCCATTTAGCTTGTTACATATCTAAAGATAGATATCTAAAGAACACACAATTGAATAAAAGCCTGAAAAAAATGACACGAATGTATCAACTGCTAAATAGATATTAATTTAGTTGAAAAGTGGGTGAAATTAGATCCAATCATAAATAAGGTTGAGGAAAGTAATTTAATAAGTTTATGATGAATGATGTGAATATTTATGGCATTATCAATATTGAATTGCAAATCAGCATTCTCTAATATGACATATCTAAAAGTAAATCCTTTAAAACAAACAGGTGGGAAAATGTGTTCCCCAGGTTAAACCTCTTGAGGCCCACATTTGGAGTTTGGTTACATAAATGAAAGACCAAATATTTTATTTGACTCGACTTGAACGACCTAACTTCACTAGTAGCGGTGGATATTGTGACCTAAAAACACAACATCTCAACAGAAAGACAACAGATTTTTTCTGCACATTTGTAGCTGGAACCCTCATCTAACCAGAGCCAATGAACATCAACAACAGAAATGTTTTTTCTACAAAAGACGGCATACTAAGTTGTGAAATTCCCCTTACCTTAAACACTAGTGTCAACTCAAGGCCCCCCACGCCATTTTATACGACCCGCGACGGCTCTAAGCGCACATGATTGGCTCAAATAAGGTCCATTCTAATTTAAAGCGCACATTGCCCATAAACTACATCTCCCACAATGCACTTCACTTGTTTTTTAGCCGTGAAGTGACATCTCGCGAGTCCCACCGGCAGAGTGCGGTGTGCCGATTTTCTGACGAGGGGAGATTATAAATATCGATTCCATAATGTCCAAGAGAAAAGTTAAAAAAAGGAATAAAAAGTAATAAACATGGGAGAGAGAAGATATGTTCGTACTACGAGGAGACAAACCGGTGTGTTTCATGAGTACGTTTAGGCGGTGAAGGAGTACAATTTACGTTGGCCTTTTGACACCAAACATGGAGCTAGTTATGCTAAATATACCCTTCACGAAAAACCATTATCCAACTATTAAAGGCAAACTAGTTTTTTTACTATTGTGTGGGAATAATAAAATGTCCCTTATCTCACCGCACAATACAGAAGTATCACAGCACACGTAAACTTTGAGCCCATTGAGGTCCCAACTGGACCGCGACAATCCGTTTGTCAGAGCATCTCGGCTTCCGTAATCGGTGCTTTCCTTCGCGTTCGGCCTGCTTACCAAAGTGAGCCGCTTAATCAATGGTTTTGATCGGTGCACTCTGGCTTTACTACCTTCACCAAATCCTTTCACAGGCCAACACCATCAGGGCACAATGTCACCTTCAAATGGAGCGCGCGAAGTTCCCCGGATGTCGTCCGCTGTCTTGATGCCACAGCGCCGACGTCACGCTGGTCGTGTTCTGTTTACTTTCATGTATGTAATTCAACAGTCGTGCTTACATTCTGTTTTTTCAAGTTAATTTAATTTTGTATCGCCCCAAATATTGCTTTATTGTCTGTATGGAATATCACCTGTCTCGAAACCCTCACATCAGCACAAGAAAAACCCTTTAATGGGGAGAAAAGGTTTTGTGCTTGTTATTTTAATGATCAATGGATGAGGATGTGGTGTTTCAGGTTGAGGAGGAATCTGGTTGGTGTGTTCTGGCCATATCGACGTCACCCTTGTTACACTTGTAACTTCAACATTGTAAGTTTGAGACAGCTTGATACTTAATAATAAAACAAATTAAAAATCTGACTGTGTATTAGATTTTGGCCCACTACTCTGCTGATCCTGGTTGGTCAGCAGTGCTGTCAATCTAATGTTGCTTGGGAGTTGCTCTAATGATTCCAACGAGGTGTCAATCACGCTAATCGACCAACTCGTCACTGAGAAGTAGCCTGCTAACTGACTGATTTTGTGTAGACTTTCTTGGATTCTTCATTTATTATTTAATGGTAGAAGTCTGGTTTATTTATTTTTTTTAAATCAACCATTGCAGAGAGAATGTTAACATATTGTGCTATAATCTGCTAGAGGTTTAGAGCTATAATATTATAAATCCAACAAGATAATCATCCTGAAAGTGCTTTTTATTTGAGGCCAACCTGAAACCAGTGCAATGTGCCACCTTCATTGACTTCTAACCTGCATCATACATAATTGATGCTAATGTTTAACAAGCCAGTGTGAAAATCAGGTAGGCTTCTCCAACGGGGCAGAGAATAAAACCTCATCAACCATCCAGCAAACAAAGCAGTCAAAGGGTCAAACAAGAAAACCTAATGCCCAATTTACATGAATTATCCATGCAAGCTGAGCTGATTACTTCTTCAGTGGACCAAGAAAGCAGACACCAGCTCCACCTAGAGGACGTCTGTGTGCATGCACGCATTAGATCGCTTCCTCAACCTGTTGCCCAAATGTGTCCCGCTGTGAACTCTTGTGATCTCACTAACATAATTACCTTGTTTTCAGCTCCAAACATTGCCAAATCGGACCCGGATGGTTCATTTATTTAATGATGACACGATTAGCTCGACATATTCAGACGGTAAGTCAGAGCCTGCGTTCATTAAAAGTCTCGTAGTTCAGCCTGCTGAGAATTTTCACGCAATTGTTTTCCCAGTAATGTGAAAGCTTTGGTAACTGTTTCTTATTCAAACTGCTTACTGAAACTTCTTTAAGTTGTCTGAATTGACATTTAATAGTTAACTTAATTGACAAGTTTGAAAGAACTATACTAAAGCTTACTCCCATGATACCAGTTGTTTTACTGTGATCTGTGATCTTTATCAGCTTAAAATGACTTGAGTTACTTCCCTGAGAAATCTAGTGCCAATTGGTTTCCTTACTCTCTATTTAAGTCTTATTCATATGTCACAGCGTGGTGCTTCTGTGGTCGAGTGGCCCATTGTAAAAGGAAAAGACACGGATGGGGTGCGTGGAGCATCCGCGGTGAATGGCGTCTCTTCTTAATCCCAGGTCTTCCCAGTTGAAGATCCTTCAGTATTTTGGGAGCTGGACCTCTGCTCGACCCCACCACTCCCTGCGAATCCATAAATACCCACCGAACCCGCTCGCCCCCCCCCTCCGCTCTCATGCACACGGTTTCCCTCCCTCTCTCCAGCTTTACTTATCTAAATGCTGCTGTGGCAAGTGGCATTAATAAAGTAACTATCTGTCTTAACGTAGCGTCTCAATGGGTTCAGGCATCATTTACCATCCGGGCAACACAGAGTTCAAGCCTTGCATCTGAATGTTTACCGGTAATAAATCTGTTAAAGCTTCCATCTGCTGGTGTGGTCCTTGTTTGTGAATAATAGTACTAGTGGTGCTTAATAGCAGACCAACATGTATGTATTTTGCACTTTAATATAAATCCAAATTTGAATGCATGACTTTTACGTGCTGTATTGCTGCTTTTGGCATCAGTCGGTACCACTACTTCTTCCACCCCTGCACCGCATGTACACGTTCCATTCCCACTTTCCCGACCAGCTCTTCAAGTTGTGGCTTGAAGAACTTTTATAAGGCATAAAAACACACACACGTTACTTTTAGGAGTGAATGTTATGAGGTGCTGTGAAAAATGTAACACTCTGGAAAGGTTCCTGTTTTGGATGTAGTCGATATCCACTGTGTGTCCTAGGGAGCGCGTGTCGTAGCAGTAAATGGAAACAGCAGGGGTCGTTGTTCACCTTAACAATATTAACGGCATCTTAAAGTGTCATCGGATCTTTGACTGAAATGTTTGATTCCAGAGCGCAGTCTCAGTTCATGTCACATAGTCTGTGTCTTTACATTGTGCTAGAAGTACACACTTCCTGAAACACAACTCCCCCTCAGTCAGCACTTCAGGGAGATTTTTCCTTCTCTTTTTTTTTTTTTACAGTTTCACTTCCCTGCTGCTGAAAGAGCAAATGAGCTCTGTGAAGGTGTCTTGAAAAACGCCAACCCTGTTGTGCAAAAAACGAGCTGTTGTTTGCTGCTCTGGTGACTTCACACATTGACCGTGACCCCTCCGGCCCAGCAGCCCATTTGGGCCTCCCAAGCCGCCGGCTCGACATACGTCCAGGGGGGGCCAAGAAACACAGGATGTGAAGGAAAAACCCCTGAATACCTCTGAAGGGAATCACTAATGACCGCTGGCCTTCCTGCTATTTCATATTCCCATTCAATCTAGTTTGCATCTAGTTTCTCGGACGTTTGTGGTTCGTTGTGCAGTTATGCACATTAGCTCTACGTTCTTTGATTCAACTCTTGAAAATACCAGAGACATTAGACGGACAAAAAGCAACCCGCCCAAATAACCGCCCCGGCCCTCTGATACCTTAGTGAGCAGGCTTGGCAGTACTTCTTTTCCCCGAGCGGGTGCATTGGTGAGTCGACGTGCGTTTAACTCCCACCTTCGCTGTGAGGCCTCTCCGCCGCTGTGCTGTCGGCGAGGGCCCATGTGGAAGCGATTAGGGCCGTGCAGAGAGGGAAATTACAGAGTGGAACCTACTCAACTGGAGCCCTCCTAAACCGCTCGCTCACTCACTCGGCTTTGGACGTCCACGGACCCGAGCTTCAGAAGGCACATGGAGCTGAGTGAGCACAAACAGACACAGAGGGACGGATAGACACACACACACACACACATTTTGCCTGAGGCTGTGCGTTTTCCACTGCCGGCTCTGTTGGGACAAGGCCGCAGTGTGCCTCCCTCGCTCTCCTGGACGGGAGAGGGGCTGTAAATTCCTCAGAAAGTGCTGTTAGGAGCGCCTCCATTAAAACACGTGGTGGTGAGGGGGGAGACGGGGGGCGGTGCTCGCCAGAGAGGAGCCAACTCAGTAAGTCATCGCCGAAAGCCTGAGGCCTCCGCTGGGGCCAAACGGGACGGCGTAGTGCACACCTATGCTCGGGTGGAGGCGGTGAGGTGGGCTGCAGGGGGTTGATTGGCTCGTCGATTAAAAGCTCCACGATCACCTGCACAGGTGTTTCGTTGGGAGGGTGTTTGGACTCCAGCCCCCTGCTGCACATGAACAAAGTGGATCGAACAGTGCTGGATTCTTTTTCACACTGCTCAGGATGTGGGGAGTTGCAGGTCGAATTGCAGGTCCGTGAGTTTCAAAAACAAAATACAACAAAGGCGGTATTGTATCTGCTGATGTAGTCTATGTGCATGAGTCAAACAATGACAGAATGTGTCACACTAAGTAGACAACTCACTCTAGATGACATGGATGAAACCCGACGCGCTGGGCAGAATGCTTTTGGGCTGTCACTGTGTTCATACTGTGAAACAGGATCCATCTCTGCAGCTTTGTGTGTCTGAGAACCGCAGACATTGTCATACCAAACCTTTGTGTAGGACGATTGTTACGACCCCCGGTCTTGTCTGTGTTCTGTGTGTGTGATAACCCTCCTCAGGTGGAGCTAATTGTCTTCATTACTCATCCGCCCTCCCGTGATCTCCTACAGCTGGTTCCTGTTTTCCCATCCTCCAATCGCATCGTCCCATCAGCTGTATTTATGTGTTTCTGGTTGTTCAGTCCAGATCTCTCAGGCAGGGTGTAAGGTTGTGTTTGGGGTGCTCTTGTAAAATTGGTTGTACATGGTGGAGTGTTTTGGGAGTATTGAAAGTGTTAATCATTTGTGTTTCGTGTGTCCTTCCCAGGGAGAACGGAAAGCACTTGGGAGTGTTAGGAAAGACGCCCTGGGCATACATCACCCGTAGGGATATCTCCTGTTATACACACCAGGTTAGATCTGAGCGATCCACCCCCTGTATTTTTGGTTAGGGCGCCTTGCTCGAGCGCCAGAGTAAATAAGTGTTTTGTGTAGGACGTTGGGACAGGTAAGGGGTGGGGGTTTTTGCTAATTTCTTTGTTTTGGATCAGCTCAGCCGTCCTCCCATTTCCCTCTATTGTTTATTATTATTATTATTATTATTAATAAACTGGCACGTGCTAGCCTGTTTAAACCAGACCCATCGATGTTGGTGTGATTACTTGCGCCCACACCCGGTCTCTGGCCGTCTGGGGTTCTTGGCAGCGCGGTGTATGTTCCCCTCCCCTCACGGGGTGCTGTACGTGCATAACAACGATACACCCCGGTAACATTATTTCAACTTGTGAGAGCTTGTCTGGTTTCCACGGCTCCTCAGCTCGAACGTAATAAACCACCATTGGAGCTTCCAAAAACTCTCAAGTTATAAAATGAAACCCGGGATTTAAACCCCTTCAGACACCTCGTGTTGTTGTTTGCTAAACTTCTGCGGCGCCGTCGCCCCCAGAGGTTTACGAGAGTGACCCGCTTGTGTACGCGCTGCGGTGTCTGGATGCACGGTAACCGCTCCCTCCCCTCCGCGCACGTCCAAGCCCGTTATTATCCCAGGCGCGATGCGGGCCTCTCAAAATATCTGTCACGCAGCTGTCTGCACCTCTCTGGAGAGGCTCTGGGGCACTCCCTCGCCCTGCAGGACAAGGGGGGGGGGGCAAATAAACCCCTCTGACATGGCACAGTTAGCCCTCCGCCGCTGTTTGTTTTCTTGTCAAAGCCACCCCTGAGTGGTCTGCGACCTTTCGACCAATAAAAAAATCCCAGACAAATGGCGTGCGTGAGGCATGAAGAGCAGCCACCAAGCTAAGACGCTTCACCGGGCTCCTTTCCGTTATCTCCATTATCTCTGCTTCTAGCAGCGAGGCCCGCATGTTGGCCTGGTTATTTCGGCAATGAGGTATGAAAGGCTGTGTTTATGGATGTGAAGGCAGCTGGACGTCTTGTAAAGGCACGTTTGCGAGCCTAAAAAGGGGACCGCGAGGACACGGCACCCGCAGCGATAAATGAAATCTTGAAAACAAGAGCAAACCGCCCGCCGGGTGTACATGAATGAAGGAAAGGGGGATTTGAGCGGAGGCAAGGTTTTCAGTGATCCTGCCCTCCGTCACCACTCACAGTGGTCGCCTCTGAGGGCGATGATAGGAGGGGATAGAACATGTTGCACTTCCTGTTGAGACGTCAAGGGGGGAGCGAGACCGATAGATATAGTACGTGCGCTGGAAAAACTGCTCTCCTCCGGTTAGGATAATGCATGACTGCAGCTAATCTTGAGTAAGAGTTCTTCTTGAGTCGGTGCCAAAATTTGATTAGAAACAGACTCAGTTTAAGTCTGGCTGGCTGTTTTATTTCTTTCCTTTTTTCCCCCGCTTTACTCATGATTTCCGTTGTCCGTTTTGCGAGCCCCTTCATGGGGCCTGATGTAATTATCATACAGTCAAAAAGAAGTTCACGTCACATTCACGCAACCCTGCGACTAACAACGGCAACCTTGTGGCATGCCGATGGAAGGCCTTCCTGCCCCGTCGGAGCGACATCGTAATACCTGCTCCAGGAGCATTCTTCCTCTCCTACCCCCTTGATCCTCGGCTTGTCCCTTCTTGCCTTCGAGCGAGCAGGAAACGGCTGCATGCAAGATTTAAGATCCGAGATCAACAACAGCGAGAGGGGGGGGGGGGGGGGCGGTGGGCTGCAGGGAGACGGCTGGAAAGCCGGGCACCGACATTAAAGAGCGAGGGATCGACTGCAGACAGGCACCGCCTTGCTGCGCGGTTAATTAGAGCAGTTTCACACGGTGGCTTTTCATTTCATCTCCCCGCATAGAGAAGAGGCCACCGGCTGGAACCTCTCTGCGAGAAAAAGGGCTTTGTGAAAAGCTTTGTTTTTCCTGACCAGAGTTAGACGTTGAGCACCTGATTAGTTTAGTTTGGCCGCTCTGCTCAGTTTCACGAAAATTACTTTACACACACACTTACATCTCATATGGATTCTCCTTTTCTTTCTTTCAGTTTTCCCCTGGAAAAAGACAAAAGCGACCAAATCAAATTTTCCATCACGCTTTCCAACTGCCCCCCCCCCCCCACACACACACTCCCATAAACCCTAAAAACTCTCCACCCCACACGCACACGTCCCACCCCACGTCGCCTGTCCTCATCCTCTCGCTCTTCACTCGTCTCCCCGCTCCGGTGAAAAGCCAAACAAGCCAGCCATTAAGTGGAGTTAAGCGCAGGAAGTGGGCCTTCGGGCGAGGCGGCACTGTTTACAAGGAGCTAGTCAGGTTTCGGCGGCGCTTTGAAGTTGAGCCCCGCACAGGAAACTGTCTGTCACTGGGCGAAGGCCCGGCACCGCTCCACTGCCGCATTCCCCCCCCAATCATCTGAACAAAAAGGGGAGGGAGGGTGGGAGGGAAGAAATTTATGCATTCCAGGCCCCCTCCTCCCTCCCTCCCTCCTCGGGGTATCTGGTTTCACCTCTTACCTGTGTGTTATCGCGCTTCTTTATTCAACCCCCCGCCCCCCCTCCCCCTGGACATGGGGTACGAGGAAGAACATGAACACCATGAGCCCTGTTTTTACCCCACGCTGGGCGTCAGTGATCACGCTGTGGTCGTGGCGATTAAGTGTCGGGGCGACCGTAGGAATGCACTCGCGCTGGTGTGCTGTGTGTGCGGGAAAAAACTCCCTCCGCGGGCCCCCGAAGCCTTCGCTCCACAGCGGGAGGATTGACTTTCTCCTCCACACCCGTCTACTTCATGACATCACCGCAGAGAAAGGTTCGGTTTCAGCCGTGGGCTCCGACTTGTAGTGAGCAACGCCACGGCGAAGCCTGAACAACCACAGCCCCCCCCCCCACAGAGAGGCAGAGGCTTTCTAATCCCGTTGATTTAAGCTCTCCAACAACAGGCTAATAAAAGGGACCCTGTTGTGTTTGGCACTCCGAGGCGACGCTCGTGTGAATGTGCGAGAGTCATTAAGCACTTGGATGCGAGGCATCGCAGAATGTGACAGCAGAGGTGTGTCCGACAGGAAAGTCACCCACTGGCCTTCGTTGGAGGGTTAGCAGCCTCGTGTGAAAAAAAAAGCTTAATTCCATTATGGAATACAGTGATTTCCTTTCCTGCCGCGTCGGAGGGAACAGTTGTTGAGGTGTGACAAGAACCCACTAACACCCCCCTCCATAAAAACACCACGGATGGTCTTACAGCAAAGTAGGGACATGATATTATTTAATCATTGAAGAATACTCAACATAAAGAAGGGGAGTATAGAGAAACATTTGATTCATAGTTGGTTATTTCTGTACATTCTCCATGTTTATTTAGTTGGTAAAAAAGGTCTCGGGCTGAAAAAAAAAGCTTCCTGGATGTCATTTGATGGACTGAGATGTTCTTTTAAGCCATACAAAAACAATGAAATTTGAAACCAGCAATTATTATTTAAAAAGGAGGACGTTTAGATCTACAGTATGTGGCATTCATACATCAGAGTGAAGAAGGTACACTGGCAGACAGGGAAAAGTGTTAACTTTCTATAAATACAAATATATCATTTCATGTTTTTACAAAAACTATTTACAATTTCATTGAATTAGATACGAGACGTTTACTGGGAGAAATCGCCGCCATTCCTCCTTGTCCCTCGGCTGCTGGATCATCACTCACACGTGAGCTTATGGTGACTTTAAGAGGGGGGGGAAATGGGGGCATGGGGGGGGCATTTCAGCACATGGCATCCAATAGCCACGCTTGTTATTTGTTCAGACAGTCCGGCTCAGTCCTTGTTTTTCCAGCTTGCCCTTTTGCCAAACCCTGACCCCCGGGCCTGGCATGCACCTGTGGACCATGAGGAACATACGCCCGGCCGCGAGTCCCCCGTCCTTCTACACCGTGGTCTCTCCTTGCTTGCCGTTTGTCAGCCTCGTGTAAAACTTGTGCCACGAGTGGAGGGTCTTTCCGGACCAGATCCAGAACCCGGAGGTGATCCCCACTATCAGCGTCATGAGGTACTTTATCATGTAGACGGTGAAGTCCGGGGTCATGCGGGGCCCCGTCTGCGAGGGGCACGGGATGGCCAGGCCCCTGCAGTTGTGGCTCACCCAGCTGCGCTCCCAGTGGGGGCGGAAGGCCTGCTCGTAGAAGACGCAGGCGATGACGATGGTGGCGGGCACGGTGTACAGCACGCTGAACACCCCGATCCGCACCATCAGTCGCTCCAGCTTCTCCGTCTTGGTGCCGTCGTGCTTCATGATGGTGCGGATGCGGAACAGCGACACGAAGCCCGCCAGCAGGAAGGAGGTGCCGATGAAGAGGTAGATGAAGAGCGGCGCCAGCACGAAGCCCCGCAGGGGGTACAGGCTGCCCAGGCTGACGAAGCAGACGCCGCTGAGCACGTCGCCCTCGATCTGCCCGATGGCCAGGATGCTGATGGTCTTGACGGCCGGCACCGCCCAGGCCGCCAGGTGGAAGTACTGCGAGTGGGCCTCGATGGCCTCGTGGCCCCACTTCATACCTGCCGCCAGGAACCAGGTGAGGGACAGGATGACCCACCAGATGGAGCTGGCCATGCTGAAGAAGTAGAGCATCATGAAGAGGATGGTGCAGCCCTCCTTCTTGGTGCCTTGGACGATGGTTTTGTAGCGCTCGGGGCTGAAGCTGTCGTTGCACACCACTTTGTCTCCCAGGAAGTAGCCGGCGATGTAGGCCACCGAGACCATGGTGTAGCAGCCGGACAGGAAGATGATCGGCCGCTCGGGGTACCTGAAGCGCTGCATGTCCACCAAATAGGTGGTGACCGTGAACAAGGTGGACGCGCAGCAGAGCACGGACCAGACCAGAATCCATATGCGGGAGAAGCGGATCTCTTTGTCGCTGAAAAACATGTACCCGCCGCTGCGGGCCGGCTCGCAGGGGGCGGCGCAGTCCTTCACCTCTAAGAACTTGTAATTCAGATAGGGGGGCACCTTGAGCACGGGCGGGCAACGGAAATGCGTCTCGTGCGCGGGGGCGTCGGCCAGGTCGTGGGTGCCCTGCAGCACAGGGACGACGGGCGGCACGGTGGCGGCGGTGGAGTCGTTTTGGCCCACGCAGATCTGCCCGTTACCCAGCACCGGGAAGTTCTCGCAGCGCAGGCGGTCCGGCCACTGGAAGCCGAACTTGTTCATGAGAGCCTCGCAGCCCTGCTTGGCCCGCTCGCAGATCGACCTGCAGGGAGGGATGGCCTTCTCCAGGACCGTGCACACGGGCGCGTACATGGAGCACAGGAAGAACTTCAACTCCGGCGAGCACTGCACTTTCACGAGCGGGTAGAACTGGTGCACCTCGAGCCCCGCGTCCTCCTGGTTGTAGTGGCCCACGAGATTGGGCATGATGGTTTGGTTGTAGGCTATGTCCGTGCACAGGGGTATGGAGATGGGCTGACAGAAGCCATGCTCCGGGACGACTATTCCGCTGTCCCCTTGGTACTGGGCTGAGACCAGCAGCGGCAGCAGGAGAGCGACGGACCAGGTCGCGCAGGAAATCATCCTCCCAAGTTTAACACAGCAACTTTTCCAGCGCGATATAACTTGCTGTAAACTTGCTCCGCGTGTGTCATAAATAGTTATTGAAAGAAAGTAACTTACTTCGGTAAAAACAAAACAAAAGAAACCCGAGGTGATGCCGCACGCTGCTCCCTGGTCTCCGCACCCAAGTGCTGGCTGACTTTTTTTCTTCTTCTTTTCTTCAACTCCCGAGTCCGTGAGCACCATCAAGGCAGCAGCAGTAGGAGACGTTACTTCCGGTTCTAGGTTTCAGAATAAGATTCTAAACGACGGATTTGACATAGCCAACACATTATTATGAACATTTATTTATTTCTTCTTTTCAAAAAAAATGATGTCTAAATGTGTGCATTACTACCACAACTACTACTACTACTACTACTACTACTACTACTACTTATACTATATTCATGCGATAGCAGTCACCACAGGTCATGTGTTACTGCTGTACAGGGCAAATTATAAAGAGAATCACCATCATATTTGTTTGCGGACAGCGTCGATATTATTTAGTTTTTTTAAAAGCTGCTATTTTATTAGGTTTAATGCATTTATTTTATTTTGAAGATGATGTGATATTGTTGTAACATATTCAAGCTTTGCTCCACAGCTGGATTGCCTGGCTCAATAACATATACGTCCTAAACGTAGACGGTAGACTTCCCCACCTAGTGCATTTCCATGTTCATGTCATGTTCATATTCCAATTGGCAATCCAGTGACAATCAAGTCATTTGGAAGTAATTTGGAAACATATTTAGGAAAAATACATCTACAATTTTATAAAAAAGTACTGTACATACTGTACATGTACATATATGCATATGCGTGTGTTACTACCTTGTAATTCGTAAGTGCCTTCATCAGCTCATCAGAGAGAAATAAAAAGTTATGTTAAATATGTACCCTTGATATATATATGATAATCAATTCATTTTATATGTACTACATGTTGTGCCGTATTGTGACGGGATGTCACACACGGAGGGGAGGGGGGGGGGGGGGGGGTACTGTACGTTGCTATGCTCCCTGATCTCCTACTCGATGATGATTGGATGAAACGATACGAGTCGGTCCGGTTCAGCCAATGTGGGTTTAGGCTTGAGGTCGAGCTGCTGAGGCGAGGCACGAGCGATAATGCGCCGACGGTGAAGAAAACTGGTTCAACTCCGAAAGTTGGCGTTACTTAAGTACTCAGGTAGGTTACTAATGGTATTTTACTCTGAAAACTTAAGACGAAGTTAACCACAATTTACTGGCGGGGAAGCAGTTTGTTACCGTTGACAGTTTAGTCCAAATAAGCCGTGGGATGGCAGCTAACGTTAGTAAGCTAACGCTAGTGGCGCTAGTGGTTAGCTTTGACCGTTAGGCCGGGTTGATGGCAAAGTGTATTTCTTTTCGCTGCGATAGCCGTTAGCTCATACTTTATTTGTTTTGCGAAATCGTTGTCACTTATGCTTCACCCAAATTTGAAAACGGATTGACCTTTTTTTGTTTTGCCAGATTTATGGAGTAAAGACTCTGTCCAAGTTCACTGGAGTTCAGAATGGCCTTCAACGGGCACCAGAGCACGTTGGAGAATTCGCTCTTTCCCACATTCCAACGCCAGGTAAGAAATAAAGAGCAATTATCTTCATTGTGGATTAGCGCTGCAACACAATTATTTTAGTAATCGACTAATCTGTTAACTATTTTTTCGATTAGTCGACTTATCTAACGATTATTGACCCTAGTGTAGGAGCGTGGAAACAAAGAGGCCCCACAAAGTATTCCTTTTGGCTACAACGTGTGGCCGTTTATTTCCATCCAGTAACATCTCTCACACATTCACTTCCTGCTCCCTTCCCTACAATGTCAGATTTTGAACTCCAGATGTATTTGAGTAACAATTTAAAACAAAGTAATCATCATAATAAATATATTAAATCGTAATACAAAATGTAAGTTTAAAAGTAAACACAATGTGCAACTTAAGTTTTAAAAAATAACTCAAAAATAGCAATCAAGCCTCTGCAGGTGACCAGCATGTTGAGGACGCTCTCTGTCCTTCATCAGAGGGTGCATGAGCCTCTGAGGGACAAACTCGTGCACGCACGCGCCTTTGCTTAGTACTAAAAGAGAGAGAAGAAACACAGCTTTAAGTATCATGTTGTAGGCGTTAGTATCAATCTTAGTTACGCTAGAGTAGATCTCTCGTAATTGTGTTGTAATGAAATTATTTTTTTCCACAATCTTGTGTTTGAAGAGTGCTAAGTGGAGGTTAACGTTAACTTTACAGAACGAACGAAAAGACAGGCTACAATAATCCACCGATTTACTACACTGCATTTAACATAACAGCGTTAGCGAGCATCCTCTACGAGACGTTCTGTTCTCCAACATGTGAGTGTGAACCTTACGATAAGTTAACAAGGATAGCGTTACTTTAGCTAACTAAACTCACGCATGATGAGAAGATGCTCCAGCGCGTTTTAAATGTTCCTGCGTTGCCGTCGCGCTGCTTTGAATCGCTGTTGAAATACTCTCAGACTTTTTCGGCTCTCCCACGGTCAACTTGATAAACTACTTCTTTTCCTTGGTGCATGTGGACAATAGAAGCGATAGCGCCCCCCGGCACTTCCTGTGGTGTATTGCAATGCTGAATGAAAAATACCCTTAACTCTTATCTTTTTATATACAATATACAACGCGTCGACGATAGTAATCTGCGTCGTCGATTTTTCATAATCGACGTCGTCGGTTACATCGAGAAATCGTTGCAGCTCTATTGTGGATTATTTTTCTCTATTCATGTCATGGCCTGTGAAACACCAGACAATATTCTAAATTGTCCAATAACGCCTCCCTTCCTCCTCCAAAAAAACGTTGAAAGTAAAAGCAGCAAATCCTTAATAATTTTATAATTTATTCATTGTTTTGTCTCAGCAGTATTGGATATCTTCTGTAATTTTCCTCAATCTGAAATACTGTTTTGAAATACGATAGTCACGTGATTTTCTTCTTTTTTTCAAGTGAGCTTCAGATGGATTGCTTCTCTCTCTTTCAGGCCAGTGTAAATATAGAAACTGGAAACAACGGCAGCGTTGCTTTGCCCTTCGTTTCCATCCCCGGGGCCTCGCTGCAGGAACAGAACACAGCATCCTACTTGCCCTGGTCTCACATAGCCCACGATGATCCCTACGGCCTTATCAATTGTTCCCAGAACAACTTTAAAATCAGGTACTCAGCTCTACTATGTAGTACTATGTATTTAGGCTAACTGATTACTCATCTGTGCACTTTCCCTTTGTAGTGTTGACCAACCACACTGCTACTTATCTGGAGAGTTTATTCTGTGTTATTGCGGTAGAAAAGCACATACTCAGCCACACTGTTAAATGAGAGCCCTCAAAGAACAAAAGAAAATATTGAGTGCAATACAATGGACGTGATTATTTTCCTTCCAGGAAACCCACTGATAGTACTGACTGTGAAGGGGAGACTGATCTACAGGGTCTAGTGTCAAATATTTTGGATGAAAGAGATTCACACGACAGCTACTACAGCAAAGGGTAAGTCACAGTGTCAGGTTTTCACACTGCAGGGTTGGGTATACATATATAATAATCACATTGCAGAATATTGTATCATTTATGGCTGTGGTGCAGCCATATAAAAATGTCTAAAGTTTCTTTTAATCCTTTAATTAATAATAAAATAACATTTGTATAATCTCGGTCCCTCATAGTTAACTGACTGCCGGCATGCGGCGGTTTGGTGTCAACACACACCGAAAGTAAACAAAGTTGCGTTAACTGCGTTAAAATATTTTATTGCATTAATCGCTACAACAATCTCATAGATAAACGCGTTAACTTTGCCAGCCCTAATATATATTAGCGCACATGTCCGTGTATGCGCACACGCGTTGGGGCGGAACTGCCGTGCGCAGCAGTTGTTTACGCTCTCTTGCGTGGTGTGTTAACGTTAATATCTCAGCACACTTGTAGAGTCACTTTTTGGCAGATCAATTTACCACTTAGACATCGTGTGACGGACATTATGAGGATTCCAGGATTATGTCAGGAGGAGCCTACTAGAGGCCGCCCGCCCGTCTTGTCTCTGCAATGATCCATTGTCTTTGTAGTGATGGCAAGTGGAACCATTAATCCTGTTACACACATTGTGGAAAAACGTAGACTGGAAAAACAAATGTTTATTAATAAAAAATTTAAATAATTGTTTTTAAAAATTGTAATATTCAGCATATAGGAAATATATATAATTCCTGTATGCTGAGGTGATTTTAAAAAAATCGGACATTAAAGGAAGTCCTTAATACTTCTTTTAGGAACCTACCTACATGTAATCCCGTCTGGTCTTCAAAGACATTGAAAGAAGAACTACTGCAGTATTTTCAAACAGAGCCCAACCAGCCGACCTTTCCCCCCAACTATGCATCCCGTGAGACTTCAAGTAAAGCACAGGGACATTCAGTGGACAAAGACGTCCAGTTTCATCAACAGTCAAATGGCCTTTCGACCAATCAACAATGGCCATTGCCTAATGGAGACAAGGAAAGTTACACCCACCGTGCCCACACATTGCCACCAGGTCTGCCGATGCCTAAACAGGGAAACACCTTTTCGTCGCAGGTACTGCGCCACAAATACGACAACGTTCCAGAAAGACGGCATAGTCAGTCCGTTAATAATTTACCCGACCTCAGCAGTGTCTTCAGACCTCAAAGCGAGATGAACAGCCCATGCTTTCATCCTTATTACGAAGACCAGTACGTCCAGAGCCTCCGCCATGAACAGTCTGGTCAACGAGACATTAACCAGCTAGTCAGTAGTTTTCAATCATTCATGGTTGGTGAGCATGACGGCTTATGGGGCGGAGACTCTCCAAACATCCAAAGGCAGCACGAAGACGGCCTGGTGGAACAATGGAAAATCCCCAACCCTTCCATGTCAACACAAAGCAGTGCCGCGAGGAGGGCCCCAAAACAGCTGGCGGGAGAATTGGGGACAGCGCAGATGGAAAGAAACGGAGGAGCGAGGAGACAAACGTTTAACCACAACGCCTTCCGAGGTCCATCTGCTTTCAGCCCTCAAAACACGGAGTACTACCAGCCGGCCAAGACGTCCATCGCACCTTTAAACCTCCCGAAGCAATACCAGAGCAACATGACCCAGCACAGAGAGAACACGCCACCCCCCATCAGCGTGGGCCTGAACCAGTATTCAAGAAGTCTCTTCCAGCAGGGCCTGATGCAGGGCCTGATGCAGAGCAAGCTCAATGTGCCCAGTCAGAGGGAAAAGAAGCGGATGCACATGTCAGGCCATGAAGGAGAAGGCTTCTCCTCAAGGCCCCCGGGCAACACTATCATGAGAAGGGAGTGTAAGAAACAGGCCCTCTATCAAAGCCCTTACCACGACGGCCTAGGAAGCATGCAGGCCCACAGGTTTGACGAAGAAAACGGCACGGTCGTAGCAGGGAACGCTCCGCAGCTCATGCCTTACATGTATGCTGTGAACGACCCCAGAAGGGTCTCCATCAACCCTCCTCACTTCAGCCCCAGGGCCACGCCGCCCTACGGGGGCGGCATGGCCGGCATGGACCCGGGTGATGTGGCGTCGGCCAATGAGACGGCAGTTTTCAACTCCTACGCAAGCGACATGTTGACCTGCAGAGGAGAGAGCACCTATCATGGCATGGTGACTCCAATGGTAGCGAATCCAGGAGGGCTCATGATCCAGCTCTACTTCTACCTGGACGAGTGTTATGAGAAGTGGAGGAGCTTGGAGAAGGAGAGAAAGAGGGTAGGCTCTCCAAATCAACGCAATAAAGGCATTTTGTTCAGATGACCTGCACATTATTGACACATACATTAAATATATATTTTGAACTGGACTGAACTAAACTTGAACTGTTGTTATTTTGCAAGTGTTACTCTTTTTGTGTTATTATTTTAGACTGAGATCATTCTAACCAAGACATTTGTTGGGAAAACGACTGCCGCGGTGGCCAACTCCAACCAGCCCAAGAGCCCACCGAACCCCACTAGAGTGGACACACTCATCGTCAATCAGATGAAAGAGCATGCAAGGGTGAGCCCCCCCAATACATTGCTGCCTTACTGCCATCTACGCTGGGATTTGGTAACGGCAGCCTAGTTCAGGAGGCCAGTTTTATAAAAAGAAAACTATTTTCCTTTTGTGGAGGCTGTTGGTGGTGCATCTTTTTTGTAGTGTGGACTAAAAAAAATGAATAGATTATCGGTGATAGATCATCAATCTTTAGTGCTGCATTGTTTCATGTGAGGTCTCATTAATAAGCAACTACTAACGCGGGGTAAACAAGTGCCGTTTGTGCCTCTCTGTCTGCAGGTGGCGAGCCTCCTCGACAGAATGCAGTGTCTGAGCAAGGCTGCCTTCCACGCCAATGTCCACACGGCGCTGAACAGGTACCACGCGGCTATTTGCAACGCCCAGGCGAGACACAAGGAGGAGCTCGCCGGCACGTCCAGGCACCAGCGGCAGAGGACTCATTTCCCAGAGGACCGAGGTGAGTGGCGGCTCGGTGGTGGACCTGCGCCCCTCCGCCCGAACGCTGCCGCTTCTAACGTCCGGCCTCTGCTTTCACAGAAACCCTGTTGCTGGTCATTGCGCTGAAGGACCTCGCCGCGACCACCAGAAAGATGCGCACGGCCCTGTGGTGCGCTCTCCACATGACCCTACCGAAGGCCGCCAAGAAGCCGGAGTGCCAGGTGACCGGGGAGGCCGCTTGTAGTGAAACAGGCGCCTCTCCATTCGAGGGTTACTCTTTCAAAGTCACGATTTAACGGGCTCCAAGCACGAGCTAAAGGGCTTGATTCAGATTCCAATTCAAATTACTCACAGAATGCCCTGATTATAAATGTCCCATCGATATAGAACAAACTAATGTTACCCGCTAGTCCACGGGGACGTTTTACCTGAGACACAGCGATCACTGCACAATATGAGATGAGCAATTGCAGGCTTGGTGACGGTTGCAGTTTATCATTTGGAGAACATTAGTTGTGCGGGAATTGCATGAAATGTTGTCCTTCCTGCTGCGCCTGAATTTCATTTCATTTAATTAGTGTCCGTTTCAAATGACCGTGAATTGGCTCCATCACCGTTTTATTTAAAGGCACTATTTATGAGGAAGATTTCGGTGAATTCTTCTGTTTTACTTATTTATTGGTATGTAATGGAACCGCAGTATATTGCAGAGCAATAATTGAATCATAAGGGCAGTAGTTTAAAAAAAACATGCTGAATATTCCAACTTATTTTGGCAGCTTGAGTTTTCTCTTGCATAATTGTAACATGTAATCAGAAAAAAAACATATTTAACTGCGATTTGTAGAAGTTTGAGCTGCGGCAAAGAAACTCAGATTTCAGAAAGAAATGTTCAGCGTTTTAAATTGATATCTATTAATCACATTTTCCACTGGAAATATACACACATATTCCTATCAGTGAAATGTAACATAGCTAAGTTAAGAATGTTTAATGTTTAAATAACGTTTATTGTGAACATGATAAATTATAAAATGTTTTCTGAAATGTTCCAATTAACTTATAAACTTGTTTTTTTTAAATGTTTCATCCACCTTTTGGTTAAAAAAAAAATATGCTGAAACTTTTAAGAGCTTAGCGTTTTAAATTGAAATGTAATCAAACTTTCCATCATTTTCAGTTTTATCAATGTGACAGTTTGTCAGCTTAAGAATAGTCTGTCTATAACAGTCTGGCGACTCTTCCTTTGTGATGCACTCATTTTAATGTTCACGCTGGTTTATTTTCTTGTCACCTGTTCTGTGAAAAGAAACTTTTAAAATAAAGCAATCCAAATAGTTGAAAACGGCTTTTATTATTAATTTCAAAAGATGACCCTCATTACACACATTCCCAATCGTAATACATCACATATTTGAGGTGCGATTTTTGTTATTGTCAGACAAAATAACAGTCAAACTAACAGCCAAACATCGAAAGGATGACGTCGCTCATTTGTTTGAGCAGAAATTTTTCATCTTCAAGTGCGTCCTTTGATCTTTCGCGGGTAACTGCGTCGAAGCTCAGCAAAAGCACGCGTGACCGACTGCAACAATCCAAAACTGGAAGCTTTATGCTGTGCAACAATTTTGTGTGTCCGCTCATGTCGTTGTCCAGGACCACACCGATGTGGGAGGTGCCAGACGCTCAGCGTGTTCTTTAGTCGGACGAGGTGAGGGTGATTAAACTAAACGATGAAGACGTGTTCGCATTCTGAATGTTGCCAACGATCCTTCGGCTAAAATGAGGCAAATTCATCTTTGTCTCATAACAAAACCTTTTTTTCCCCCGCCACGTGCAAAGTGTCCCGTGGGCTTTATCTCTTGCGCTCCCCCTTCTGCGTGCGCTTCTTCTCCTTCTCTTTCCGGTCTTGTTTGGACAGTTTGTCCTTCTCTCGCTGCATCTTGTCCCCTTCCTTCTTCTTCTGGGCGTCGTCGCGGGCCTGGTCCCGCTTCTGCTTCTGCCTGTTCAGCACCTCCTCCACGTTGGTGTTCTTGAACAGGGCTGACGCGTACAGTGAAGGAGGATGAGCCGGATATGACCACTTTGGCCTGGAGGTGCGCGTGATTGCGGCAGTGCATCGAGGGAGTCGGGGGTTACACGACTATGGCGTGATCTATTCCTCATCACAGTAGGTGACGTGGAACTTCACACAATTGTGCGTGAACAGCTTTACAACAAAAAAAAAAAAAAAAGGATACATTTCTCCGGCGCGGGGAAGTTGTTTCCGCTCGTGGCTTCCTCTTCTTCATCTTCAGTGCTTTTGTCAAGGAAAGAAAGCCGACAGTTTGCTAGATGAGACGGCGCAGACAAACGGACACAGTGAACCTTTACGGTAATAAAGGAAAAGGATATTGCTCGTCATCCGTCACATTGGCGTATTGAGCGAGGAGGGCTTCTTTCCCCTTCTTGGTCTCCTCGGACACCTTCTTGTGTTTCACCACGATCTGGGCTTGTTTTTCGATCAGGCTGGCGATGGCCTGCACCTCGGCTGCAGGGGGGGAAGAGAGACAACAGAATGCAGAGGGGCTGGAAATCGAACCACAACAACATCAAGTAAAGAAAGAAAACGGCTGCTTTTCAGTGTCAACGAGACGGCTCACCGACAGAAGTCGCCTGCACGCGGCACACACCTTATGTGCACCGTAAACCATCTCTTTTCCAGTTATGACGCCGACTCGACAAACTGGAGTGGAAATGACTTTTTTTTTGGCATCAGACCTCCAAAACTTTCTGCGGTGTAAGCAACTTTTTTTTTCCTTTTCTCAAAATGTTTACCTCTCTGCGAGAGCGACGTATCTTTTCTGCAAGCGGTTTCAAAACACAAAACAAACGGTTTGAAGCTCACACAGCCAAGGCCTCTGTAGGTTGAAGCGCTCGGCGGCCAGCTGTCTTTGCTCGGTTTAGCCGAGGTTTAAACGACTTGAGGAGCCGCCTGCCTTTATTTTGGGCTGTTCAAATGTTGAGATTCATTCTTGAATATAACTATACAAACGTCTGGGGAAGTTTGGACCGCCTCGCTGCCATATTCTGTATTGTTAATCTTATTTTAAAAGGTAGGTAATTTGGATATATCAAAGTCGCACAAATACCATCTCCATCCCTTTTGTCTGCCGATCTGTCGCGCCAATCCGTCCACTGCTTGATAATTTGTTTGCAGACATCTTCCACGCTTTCCTCATCCTGCATACAAAAAACCAGGAACAGTTAAGTACTCACAGCTCACTTTAAGCACACAGCAGATGCTCCAACAGCCTGAGGTATTGTCAGAGGACAACCCACTGGATTTATTCAGAACCAGCACATGTCTCGTGGTGTGATCACGCATCTGGGTCACCTTCCAGAGACAATAATCAATATGGCTGCAACATTGCACCAACGATAGAACTTATACAAAAAAGGAAAAAAAACAATGTATCACGTGAAGTCTCAGCAAGCCACACGTACAAGCACGCACACATACATACACAGCGAAGACGTGTGTGTAAAAATAGAACTTTTTCTCAAGAAAACATCTAGAGGAGCCGTGTTTGGTGTGGAATGATGGATTGCTCAGTTGGATTTCACATTGCAGGAGGGCACCGTTAAAGTCACCGCCCGTGGTGTCTCCACCTAAAGAAACACTGTCGCGTCTACTTTCGATGTTTTTGTTCCATAGACGACAGCTGACACGAGCGCTCCGCCCGGCAGACGAGACGGACAGCAACACACACAGATATAAAAAGCCCCGGTGGCTTGAGGCGGACCCGCCGCTTGGCATATTCACCAGAAATGCGGATAGAATTCCTTGAAGCGCGTCTTCCTTTTCCTCATCACTCTCCTCTTCTTGCAAGACTCCTAGAATATAAGCCCCATACACCTCACGGTCTACTTCTAGCGAGTCTAGCCGATCATTTAGCCAGCTTTCAAACTCCCCGGCGTCTGTCACGGGCGCAGCCATCTTGGCCCTTTGGGGTCCTTCGGCGGCGCTGAGCTGTCCTCTGCCAACGCCTGTGGAAAACGTCAGGTCTTCGAGATTTCCTTTTTTTCTTTCTTACACAGGTAAGTTACGTTAACGAAATTAAATTGATACTTATCTTGTAATACGCTGAAATACAATTGTAGCAGTTTGTGTATTGTGGTATTTTACAAAATATCGGTAGCAGTCTGGTGCTAACACAATAAAGCTCTTAAGCAATTCAGTTAACGTTAGTTAAACATGCAACTTTACTGCTTGCCCTGTTTATTTTGAGGATTTTTCTGAAGTTCTGTCATTAAAAGTGCCTTCAAGTTACAGTTGTAAGTTAACGTTAGTATATTGTCACAGAAAAACAACATATCGATTAATTAATTGAACTATTTGTGAGAAACAATTTTGAATGCTAACTATTTGACTGCTTCTGTCTGACCACAGTGTGGAGTCTGTTACCTCACACTTCATACTAGATTAGATTTAAAAATACCGGCTTGTTTTGTCCACTCCTGGTGTTTCTACTTGTCTTTTCAAGCAGCTCTTGTAGGGTTTGTGTTAATCTGTCTCTTTACTGTGTATTGATTCCAATTAATCTTGTGTCTTTACCAAATTATCAAACTTCCAATCTTCTCATTGCCTCACAGGGATTTCTAGCTGTTTAATGATCGTTGTACCTGCTTTCCCCTATAATGTGTGTGTATATATATATATATATATACATAATGTAAGTAACAATACAGCTTGTAGTCTATGAACCTTATAGCAATGCGCAAAAGTCTTGTCAACTATCCATTTGCAGGAAAAAAGACAGCAATATCCTGGCTTGCTAAATCAGTATCCGAGGCCAACATTTCCATGCGAGCAGAATGCTCGGCGTTGGCAGTCACAGAACGCGCTCTGGGAACTTGCCACAAATCCCAAAGTTCTTGATTGAAAATGAGTGTTCGATTATTCCGCAGTTAACAGAAGGCACTTGTGCGCTCACTCGTAGGCTTTGAGCACTCGTCGTGCCAGTACTGTAGTGCTGGTTTGAAAATAATAAGCTATCCTTTTTTTGAATTCAGTCGACAAGTGATTTTTGTTCTGCCCCAAAATGCTGAGAAAGGTTTGGCTTCCACCATCCAACTAAGAGGATGGTCTCTTGAAGGCAAATTAATTTCATTGTGAAAAAAACTTGAGCGTTGATTCTCTGCATCACTGGCACTCGCCATGTGGAAGGAATTAGTTGTCATGTCAGACGCACGTAATATGGCGAACTATTCTATTTATACCATTCATCATTAGCTTTTCCATTACTGAGATCCTTCCTTATGCCAAACGGAAGCATACGTGACATTCTGCTTATGGACACTTGATGGTAGCAGAGGACGGAGATTTGTTTGCTCCCTTCTGCAGATAGAGACAGAGGATGTCCACTCATGAATTCAATTGCATGAAACTTGTTTTTTTTGGAGCTCATTTAATGTGCGATTCATTGCAAATGTGCGTCAGACGACGCTTATTAAAAGAGTAGTTGTGGGCAGAGCCGTGGAGCAAGAGCAATGCCCTGCCAGCTGTTTGTTCCTCCTCTTTCATTTGACACTGGGAACAACACCTCCCAGCTGTTTGAATGCATTAAACAATGTTTCCATGCGAACGGCTTGATCCTGCTTCCAGAAAGCACTTTAAGCAAGGGTGGTTATTATTTCTACCCCCGCCCTGCTCTCACACACCCCTCAGTTATACCCTGAACACACACATGGACACACACGCTCCCCTGCCCACTGCTCTTATGCATAATAGCTTCGCACGTCGCTGGCCTTGCAGTAATGATGTGTGAAGTTTCTGTGTTGCCACGGGGGAGCGATCACGTCGAACTGTACTCTCACCACCTTCCCTTCAAGCCCAGATGCACGCGTGCACATTTAGCCCACTTTTCTGCAGGCTAAATTCAAATGAACTTTGGTCAAACCCCTTCAAACAATTGTGAATCAGTCGTGTCGGAGTCACTGGGTGTGGTGCTTTTACTTTTATGCTAAAAGTTTTGCTCAGATGTTTCAAGTCAGACGGACAGACTCTGCAAACCAGCTGCATGTTTGTGTCTTCATTCTCTCAAGTGAATCAAACCCCCCAAAAATCAGATTGACACGAATGTCACGCAATGAAATTGAAGGTGCATCAGAAGTGAGCTGCACACAGCGTGCAAAACAACAACAAAAAAAGATATCTACTTCTTCCATGGTGAAGAATTTAAATGATATCTCCAGAGGTGCAGCTGTAGTTATGTCCGTTGGCTCTCCCTTGTATTATCATAGGCAGCACAAGACAAGTGCATTAATATCATGTGTATTAACTGCCAAAATAGTTCCTCTACTAACACAGCTCCGTGCCAGTTTTAGGGGCACTGCCATTCCAGCAGGCTGGCGTGTAGTCATATTCCGAGCTGAGGGGCCCAGGGTCCATGCATAATGCCATTGCCTCTCTTAGCGCTGCATGGCTTTAGGACGCCTGTCCTATTTATATTGAGGGTCTGTGGATTGATGCGAAATGACAAGGGCCGCGAGGGCCGCTGAGTGGGTGGGCATCCACATGCTCCACTCCACAGGCAACCTTTTCCATGTACACACTCACCCGCACGCACACGCACACGCACTCCTGTACACACTTGTCTTTGAGTCCCAATGCCACCAGCCTTTGAAAAGCCCTACGGCCTCGATGTGCAATGTCCTCTCTGTCAACATATCCTCCATCCCAACGTTAATGTGACAGAATATAACCACCAGAGCCGGGAACAAGCAGGCGGTGCGGCGCAAAGAGAAGCAGCACGTGGAACAGGCGTGTTTCCACAGCTTCTCTAGCAGTTTGCTGCCTCATCCCACGGTGGCTCCAACATTAAAACGCTGGGTAGTTGTTTGTGATAAGCAGGCTGCTGTTTGGTTGGTAGAGATAACTATGAAATCAAATGAATGTGCAGTGTTACAGCTGGGTGTTATGTCAGTAAATGGTAATTATGGTGAGTGAGTCCTTTTTTTTTTTATCATTTCAGAGCATGGGCCATCTGACCTGCGTCACATTAATGGTGAGGGACAAGCGATGGTAACCATGACAACTACACAACTTTAATTCTATCAATATTTATGCATATTGTTGCGCTTTTTATTGTTTAACTCATTCGTTTTTTCGGTTTTGATTTCCCTCTGACAGCTCAATCCCTCTCTCTCTCTCACACACACACACACACGCGTACTGTACACACACTCTCGCTCTGGCGTTCTCACTGTGACTCTTCTTTTAACCCCCCTCCTCCCACACACACACCCCATGCTGACAGACAAACAAACTCCACATCTCTGTGGCTCGTAGAGAGAGAAGTAATAAGAGAGGGAAAGCCAGAAGTGAGGTCTGTGGTCTTAAGCAGTGTTTGACTCCTTCCGTCCATCCATCAGTGTCACATTTCCGTTATTAAACATTGCTGATGGCTTATTGATCCTGCAACACAACATTAAGGATATCAAATCTTGATCTCACCACATTTACTGTGTGAATGGCTCGCAGATTTCATGTTGTTGTTGTTTAATGCTCACCAGTCTGATGGAAATGGAAGCTTGTTAATACTCAGGTCCTTTATCAAAGTAAAGGTACCACAACAACACTCAAGATGGTTAAAATCCAGTTGAAGTACAGACGTATTAATATCTTATTGCATTCGAAAGCGTGTGTTTGCTCTGTGAGTGGGTACGTTTTTGGGGGATTGTTTATAAAAAGTTCCAAATGTCTCCACCGTCTTTACAGTCTGGCCAAATATATTTTATAACCTCTTGGGCTGTTTAGAATCACAATTACCTTTTTGGCCATATACTGTATGCATGCACATACACAGAATTTGACTCAGTTTACTTCTGTGGTTCTTACACAAAAGGGACCAAAGACGAGATAGACAACTACTATGCCTAATCCTATTCAAACATATCTCTATCCAGAACGGACAGAGGATGGATAATCCATCACCAAGTCGGTCAGCAGGTTCACGTATAGGAACTATTGCATTTTTAACCACACAAGCTGGTACGGGGTCATGTCAATGTAATTAAAAAGTGAAAGTGGGAGTTGTGGTGTTGAAGTCAAATGGCTCGTCGGTGCATTCTGGTTCGTCAGTTTAGCTAAAGAACCCTCCTTCCCCCCATCCCCCCTCTAAAATAAAATGGATAATGAGGGCTCTTATAGGAAGCTAATGCATCCCATGGGGTTGGCTGTGCCGGCGGTGGACTCCCCCGCATCGCCCTCTCAGGAGGCGCAGCGCTCTCGCTCCGCTCGTCTCGCTTTTCAGTCGGAATCGTCAGCAATTAAAAGCCGGCCGCGTGAATGTGGAAGAAGGTGATGAATATGGAACACTGGTGCCGAAGAGTCCGCCGAGACCGCTCGTCGGGTTCTTAGGGCTCCTTTCTCTCCACCCCTTCTCCTTTTTTCCTGCTGTCCCTCACTGGTGGCTCGGAGGCTTTTTAAAAATGCGAGGCCCGTCCTTTTCCAGGTTGCTGAACTTCCGTGACCTCTGGCCCCGCCGAGAGACATTTTTTCGTTGCATGTTTTTTCTTTCTTTTTTTTTTTTTTGGCCCTCCTGCCCGGCCCGACCGTGCCAACTCTCGCTGATTCTGAGCGGAGCAGAGGGGTGATGGGGTGGAGGGGGGTGGGGGGTCTGACTGGGAAGCGTCAAGTGGAGGAGGGCAAATATTTAGCCGTGCCACTCAGGGAGGAGAACCAGGCCTCCTCTCCCCGCTAAGACATCCCTCTTACCACCGAATCAGACCATGTCTCCACCCTGGCTCCCCGTGCTGCTGCACACTCTGTATTCAGGGTCACGGATCTCATTTCTTCGGGTAATATTTCAAGCTGGCCACAGATGAGGAATTAAATTGAAGACCTGTCTTGGTAGAGGGGCATGAAGGATGGATCTTGGGGGTGGAGGGGGTGGGTCGGGGCTTCTTAACCAGAAAAGAAACGGATACACTGTAGCTGCACTTAGGCTACTTTTAAGGGCCTGTGTCAGTGAATGCGTGAAGCG